TTCCTGGTTCTCTGCGTTGGGATTCTGGAAGCCGACGGCTAGGCAGTCGGCGCGCTGCATTTGCAGCTGGCGCTTCTCCCGGCGGAGATCCTTCAAAGGGGTTTTGATAACATCTATGAATTAATCAACCATTCGGGGTTTACGGTGTGGCGTACCTAGCCCCAAAAACTTAAAACGGCTGATCTGTCCGATGCTAGCAGGAGTATATAAGCCCCAAAAAGGCTAAAGGCTACCTACTCAGCCCCTCTGTTCGTATAACGAATCAAGAGGGCTTGGGATTTTTCATCAAGACTTCGCACGATGAGAATTCTACAGGGGGTTTGGGGGTGCCTATAAGGGTTCCTGTGACGGGTTCCCCATACGGTGTCCCATCAAGGGTTCATTGACAAGTTCTACAAAGCTTGGTGTTTTGCATCTGCCGGGTTGATAGAGCAAAGGGGGAGACCCACAGCAGAGAGGTTTGTTGCTTTTAAGCTCCTTTTTCCGTCCGCAACATCCAGGGTTTAGGGAATTCAGGGTTCAGGGTTTGATGGCGGGAGCGAATCGAGGATCGTGGAGTTTTACGGTTTCCAGTTCAGGGATCTCAGGATTTTCAAGAGTAGATGTATCCGATACTTTTGGGTTTCCGGTTTCGGGTTAAGGGGCTTAGGGATTTCACGATCTGAGCCCGGACTTGAAGCCCTGCTGACCTGCTACGACCCGATCGCCGAAAGCCACCCCAAATCCCTTAAACCCCAAACCCCGTAAACGGCCATTCATCCCAGACCTTCCCCTAAGGGTCCAAGTACCTAATACTCATATACTCTCCTAATCATTGAGCTACATAACTACTATCCTAAACCCAAGTACCTAACTATTGGGTCCTTTGGACCCTTAAAGTTCAGTACATCTCTATGCCCTAAAATCTTCCCCCCTTTTATGCAGGTACGGGGATGAAAAAACCCTTTACAAATAGCCCTGCAGGCAGCCTGGCCCTGCAATCCTTAATCATGGGAAAAACAAACCTTGTCTGTCCTTTTCGAAAACCGTTTAGTGCCTCAGCTTAGCGCTCCCAAATCCCATCGAAAGCCGATAACGTCGTGTAAAACCCTAGAAAACCTCCAAAGAGTCTATGATTTGTAAGATCCAATAACGCCCAGTCAAAACCAATAACACTTACAAGAGCATCGAAACCCTGGACCCACAACCCCAAATCTTAATCCCTTTATCAAGTACACCAACAGCCTAAACACAACACAAACCCTAAACCAAAACAAACCGTTAGAACCCAATTAGCCCCATGTAGAGTGCTTAAAAGGAACCCCTAGCCTACAGGTCTTACGGGTTCCTTAAAGAAACCTTTAAAGGAACCCTTAAACGACCCCTTAAAGAAACCCCAAACCCAGACAACCGACCTCCACCTGCGACAGGACAGCTACCACCTGCTGCACCTCCGACTCCTCGGAACGGGCTTCTGCGCACGAAGTTTTTCAAAAAGTGCAGTGACCCTTTCTCCAAGCGTGCTTAGGTTTCCTAGGATTTTTGGGTGTAGGAGTTTAGGATTCAGGGTTTTAGGGTTTATAGGGTTCAGCGCTTAGGTTTTGGGACATCGGATTTGTTATGGAGGGTCGGGGGCCTCAATAACTATTAGGGATCTTGGGGCACCATTTATATGCATTTTAAGCGAAGTATGTGGGTGGTTGTCAAACTTATGGTCCCTTTTTGGGGTCCTTAATGTAATGCGGCGCCTAATATTTAGGGTACCCAAAAAGGGACCATAACTTTGACAACTGCCCATGTGTTTTTATGAGCGCTTCAGGGTCTTTAGGGTTTACGACCTCGGATTTGGGGATAGGACTTGTGCGCCATAAGACAGAGGATTTCGGGATCGGTGCAAGCTGAAATGCGGCATAATACAGGGGCCTTACGAATTTGAATAGGGCCAGGGCTCCTTTAAGGGTCCTTTAAAGGGGTTCTATAAGGGTGCTATGATATATAGAAGCCTTTCTAATTAGAATAAGGTTTCGGGGCGCATTATACTATAAATACAATAAGAAACAATCAAAATAAGGCCCGGATATTACTTACGGTTTGGGGTTGTTGGGGCTAGGCTCCAAGAGTAGAATAGGGCCTGGGGTTTAAGGATTCTGGTTTAGTGGCCGTGTCTTGATGGATGGCTAGATAGATAGACAGATAGGTAGCTAGACAGGTAGGCCGGCAAATGGACAGACACGGATTCAACATGTCCAATGTATAATAGTCACAGCAAGAATGACAGCTGGCTGAAGCAGAAACACGGAGAATTGCCATACTAATTGAAATACAAAAGTTAAACAACAATAATATTGCTACCGTCAGAATGGCGAGAATAACAATGATAAAGGTACTGACTTAGTTACACCAATAATATACACAACATTATCACCAACAATAACGACGAAAGTAACAACATCAATGGCAGCATCAGCAACACCAACGGTAGCAGTAATTGCTACCATGATCATCACTAATATCAGCATCATAAGAACTTGAACGATAAGGACATGATATATCTATGCAAAAGGTTGGCACCTCAAAATCAAAAGAAAACAGCTGTAATAAGCACGTGGAACACAGCCCGCTTCTTCTCGAGCTCCTGCTTCGAAGTCAGCAGGTCCTGGACGGCCTTCAAGCCGGCTCATGATGACCAGCCAAAGTCATCCCGATCTTTGAAAGCAAGCCCGCTTTGCTCCCTGTCCCTGGTGCACAGTAGGGAATGGGGGAATGGATCCCTAAAGTAGTCCCTGTATAGTACCCAATCATAGTCCCCATTCCCCCATTCCCTACTAAGCACCAGGGAGTTTGGCAAGCACGATGTGCTGCACGATCTCCTTGCTGCCCGCTCCGCCGACTGTGGGCAACGGTGTTGAGTCCAACCATTGATTAAAGTTTCGCCCACCGCAGGTCCCAAACTGCGCAGGGGTTGCTTGCTTCCCCTGCGGCTTCGCTCTCGAGCTCAAATCTATGTGGCTTTGAAACACCTTGGCTACTCAGTAGCAATCCTTGTCGTAACCCTTCTGGCAACTTTTATGGCGCGCTTGTTGTAACATTGTAACAATTGTGATAGACACACCTTTGGGGTAGGGGGCAGTTCGAAAATCGCACCCCGACTAAGGCCACAGGCAGGCTACCAGCTGACGGGTTTGGGATTTGGGGGTTGTGCCACGACATTTTGTTGCAAGGAGACAATGAATCTCGTTATTCCGACCCCTCGTTTACTTCCCTGTCATTACATCCGGAAGCATCATCGATTTAGTCAGGACCAACCGTTTTAAAACTGCTACTGAGACTGGGGCACATAGCTCGCTGGCCTCCCATGTGAGTCACGGTCTCAACGAAGGCAGGCTTTAGGGCAGTTTCCAGCTGGTTTAGATGATGTCGCTCTCAAGGGGTACGCTTCTCAGTGACAGATGCAGCATGGCCGCTTGAAAGCCTCTCTTCTTCAACAACCGGGCCCCAAAAAGTTCAAACTTTCCAAGATAGAGCTAATATATAAGTAAGTTTAAACTTCCCCCGTTCACTATCTAAGAAGAAGCATGCCCCGACTATAGCCCAGGGGCACCAGCTGCGACGGAAGCACCCGGATCTAAGTCTATGCCCACCCATCTAAAGCCAGGATTGCCTTCAGGAACAAAAATCAAGACAAGTACAAGCTGATGCCATGATGGGATAGGGCACATGTCTGCTGAACCTCTTACATCACCTAGGTAAAGCCGAGTCATGGGCACTTCCCAGGGTGGAGGTCAATCCCCTTGCAGGTTTATGGTCTAGGGTGTAAGCTTCAGGGCTATTATAACATAACTAACCTTAAACCCTAAACCCCTAAATTCGAAACGGGTCCACTACCGACCGTTTTCGTCTCGGAGCCAGCACACGGCGTGAAGCTCTGCGGCTGCAGCTTTGGACGGAAAGCTGCGCGGCCGCGGACCGTGTCGGAGACCTCCTTGCGATCTATGACTTAAGCTAGGTTCAAGACTTAAGAACGCCAAAGGCCGACACCACCTTTGCTACCTTTGCTCTTTTAACTACAGAACAGCCAGCCCTGTGAACACTAAACTAGGTGTCTGTTTCAACAGTCCCCACAGTCAGATATGATTCCGGCTCTATATTCAGAACAAGTAGCCAAAATCGATAACCGGTAAATCACAGACTATGTCCTTCTGGTCGTCCGTGTCGATCGGCTTGCTTCCTCTGTCCTTGCATGGCCGGGTCCCACTGAGAAACTCAAACTTTCTCTAGAAGTCCCTACATGGGGGTATACCATGGTTCTGTAGGTATAGGGGCAAAACCCTACTCGTTAAGCAACCGGGCTCGTATGAGGAGTGTGTGTGTGTGTGTGTGTGAGTGTGCGCGGGTGGTGTGTGTGTGTGTGTCTCTGTGTGTGTCTGTGTGTGTGTCTGTGTGTGTGTCTCTGTGTGTGTGTCTGTGTGTGTGTCTGTGTGTGTGTGTAAGTGTGTGTGTAAGTGTGTGTGTGTGTGTGTGTAAGTGTGTGTGTGTAAGTGTGTGTGTGTGTGTGTGTGTAAGTAAGTGTGTGTGTAAGTGTGTGTGTGTGTGTGTGTAAGTGTGTGTGTAAGTGTGTGTGTAAGTGTGTGTGTGTGTAAGTGTGTGTGTAAGTGTGTGTGTGTGTGTGTAAGTGTGTGTGTGTGTGTGTAAGTGTGTGTGTAAGTGTGTGTGTGTGTGTGTGTGTGTGTGTAAGTGTGTGTGTGTGTGTAAGTGTGTGTGTAAGTGTGTGTGTGTGTGTGTGTAAGTGTGTGTGTGTGTGTGTGTAAGTGTGTGTGTAAGTGTGTGTGTGTGTAAGTAAGTGTGTGTGTGTCCATTCAGAATCTCGAACATCTCAAGTGGACCGACCATATCCAGAAAAATACTGCCATGGACCCAATATCGAAACTCATAAACTTCTTCTCCCCATTGACTGAGCAAGCTTCTTGTCCGCTTTGCACCGGCAGCCAACTTGCAGGGCGATGGCATCGATGGCCATTCGGCTAGGACGGCGAAGACTCCAGAGGCTTCCTCAGTGTGGTTGCTTTAGTCTTGTGCGTGCTGTAAAGGGTACTGTTTAGGGTGTGCGTCTTTTGGCATGTTTTGTTGAGGTGTGTTCAGAGTTTCCAGGTTTAAGGGCTGTTAAACGTGTGGTAAGGGCTTTAACATTATGGCTTCAGGGCTTCCCACAGCCACCGAGCCCCGAAGTGCTTAGCCTAGCATGCTTGGGGCACAATTGTTCACTGAATCTGTAGACCCTTAGTCCCCATCTTCAGAAAGTACACGAAACATCCAGCCTACATTTCAAAACCTCTTCAAACAATTAAAGCACCCCACAACTTGCACCCCCAACAGCCTGAAGCCCTAAGACCCTAAACCCTAATAAGGGCCCTGAAACGCTGCGAACCGTCAACTCCAAACCCTGAACCCTCTCCAAGTCTGCAGTCGTCTGACTTCCGACCCCTACAGCACTCAGCTCAAACCTTCGGATGCCTCGTGGTTAACGGCCTCAAAAGCAAAAGCACCCTTAACAAACAAGCTACTGGGTTTGCATCAACAACCAGGACCCTCCAAAGGCCCTTTAATACAGCCCTTATGGCCCTCTCCAGTGGGAATTTGGTGTGCATTAGAGGGTAGTTGGGGGGTCTAAGCTTAGGCTGACTCAATAAGTGTTTAAGGTTTAGGTATTTCTTTTTTGCGGCCCTTTTCCTCTCAACTTCTCTAGCACCAGGCCACCGACTCCACACGCTGGGGTCCAAAGCTTTGGCAGCGATTCGCAGTGCCTCGGTCCCCCGTCAAGAGCTAAAGGGAGTTCTGGTTTAGCTTTAGGCATCAGGGTCCAGGGCTCTAGGGGTTTATTGCAGTTTTAGACGGTGTTCATTGGGTCGCTTTCTGGATCAAAGATGATTTATACGGGCTACATCGCGTTTTTGTAGAGGGTCTGGTTCTGTTTTGTGTTTTAATAAGGGTTCGGGTCGATAGGGCTTGATATTGGGTCCTTCATGATCCCCTTAATTACTTGACCTGCCAGACGAACATATTGTAGGGTCCTTCTACCTTTTTGAGAATCATTTAACGGATTCTGTTGTTCGTGTAATTCAATTCCATAACGAGACCTTTGCAGTCTACTTGAACTGGAAGCCCCCCTGGAAATACTGTCAGGTACGTACTGTAGACCCCTCTGGACTACTCTGGACGCATGCACACATGTCATCGCCCACTGGGTTTATGCTAGAATCAAAACGGAAGGATCTTGAGGGGATCTCCAAATCGACGCGAACCCGTCAATGCTAAAACCTAGCTTCCACTCAGCCCTAAACCCCAAACTATCCCAAAGCTAACCCTTTTTTCCCTACATCCTGAACCCTATTCTCAACCCTGCAAGCTAAACCCCAAACCCCAAATCCTGAACTCTCTACAGTAGAAGCCTAATAGTTGGAAACCCCATAGCCTCAATCCTTAAAAGGAATGTTTTTAGCGAATCCCAGCACCATTTTGCCTTAATCCGGTTTCCAACTTTATGGGGCTTACAGTAAAAGCCTTAAACCCTAAAACCCCAAAGCCCAAAGACTTGAAACCTCAAGCATCCCGATTGTGGGACTTGTATATAGGACCTAGGTGCGCTTCGCTGCCGCGCCGTGGGCCGCAGTCGCCGAAGCTCCTTCGGAGAGATTTGGGGATCTTGGCGGGGCTTATCTAGGGGCTTTTATAGTTAGAATAGGGCTCCTTTAAGGGGTCCTTTAAAGGGGATTATGGGGGATCTATAGTAGGATTCTATGCTAGGGCCTCAATGGTTAGAATGGGGTTTCGGGGTATATCATACTATAATTATATTAAGGAACCCCCCAAAATAGTGTGTATATATATATATATAGGTAGTTATTACGGCCCTTATACTGAGTTTTTTCTGAGCATGTTTCTGGAATGTCAAGCATTAATTACAACCATTTCAATGCCTTTCTTTCCGAGGGTTCGTACGCCCTCAAAAGGTAGGTTGTGCAGGGTGCAGCTGGAGACTAAGGAGGTTGAAAGGCTTGGAGTCTATGGTTCGGTGTCGGGTTTAGGGTTTAAGGTTTGGGGTTTAGGGTTTGGGATTCGGTGTCTAGGATTTCTCTGAAGGTTTGGTCGGATTTTTGCTGGATTTAACCGTTGAATTTAAGTGTTTTCACGAGCTCCTCCCCATTGAGGCCTTACCCATAGGCCCCAAAGTTCCGTTTTGGGATTACAGTACCTTATAGGATTGCAAATATGAACCCCAAGAAGGGACTACTTTGGGGCCTTAGGGTAGGGCTCAATTCTGTGGAACCAGTGTCCAGGCATGGGGCGGGACGGTTTAGAAGGTTTCTTGTGGGAACTATATGAAGCAATATTCCAGGAGAGCGGTGCCAGTTGAAGCTGTCGCTATGGGGTTTTGACTTCTTGTAAGTTTGACGAACATTCTGGTTGATGCAGCTACTGCTACGTCGAGCCCTTGTTTGTTGGACTGGGGTGTGTGTTCTTTTTTTTTTTTTTTTGGGGGGGGGGGGGTATATAGTAACAAGAGTGATTTACTTTCATATACTTGTCCAGTATGTCGGGGCACTCAAGGTTAATCTTTGGAAGTGTACAGGGACTATAGTGTCCCAGCAACGTTGCAATTTACTTGCTGTACTACTAAGGTGAAACGCTAGGCCCGATACTGCCTAAGACAGGAACTCCTTGAGGGTGAGGTGGCCAAGCTCCGACAAAGTGCCGACCAAGTCCCACTCCTGGCTTTGGGTCGATCAAAGTTTCCAGCACCCCGAAGGATCACCTGAAAATGTAACCTGCGAATTTGCTCTGCCGGTAGCAGGCACTACTGTAACTGCTGCTGCACTGCTGCTTTGTCACCATTACGACGAAAGTTCTACGAAGTTTCCACTGTGAGGCAGATCATTATTTGCCCTGTTTCAGGGTGAGCGAGTGATGTCGCAACGATGTGGTCAGCAATTCCAACTGCCGCCGGAATTATCACTTCTGATCGAATACGTCATGCCTTAACAATGGGGACTCTTCATAACAACGGAGATAACTTTGGTAACTATTCCGCTCCCTACACTACTTCTGCTTGCTCTTGATCATTGGCCTCACTTCGGCTTTTGCAGGAATGCCGGGTGGGCCATCCAGCACAAAGCTCTCAAACCCTCCACAAAACCTCACAAAGCCTAGCGAAGGCCCTACAGTAGAAGCCAGAAAGTTGGAACATCATTAGCCTCATGCCCTTAGAGTAAAGCATGGGGAATCCCAGCATGAATCATCCTAAATCTATGTTCCAACTTTCTGGGGTTCACCATATGAGGATTCACAAGTCTTCCGGCCGCCTAAACCCCAACTCTTACAGGACCGTCGTCACCCAAAGTGCCAAAGCCGCAGACCTTGATGCCTTGATCACCTAAATCAAACGGAAGCCACCCTGAAACTACATAGGTTTGGGGTTCCGGTTTAGGGTTTAGGGTTTAAATTTGGGATTAGGAAGATACTTAGGGGTTTAGGGAGCTATTCGGTCAGCCAAAATCCAACCCCTCACCCCCCGAAACACCACTCCTGCCAAAGGCTGGGAGGAATGGTGCCACTGCTGCCAGCAATGAGTGACAGCAGCGTGGGTTCGGCGGGACCCTGGGTGTCTGCATCGAAGGCGGGTGCGCACCTGCTGACCAAATTTATCACTGTTCTCTCTGTGACAACACCGGGATATCGCGACTATCACTACAAGTAGTTACCAGGTCATGCCACAGTGTATAAATCCACAACGGCTTAAACTCCCACATGCTACATGATATCTGTGCTGGGAAAAAAACGTTTTGCTGGTTCTCGCAATAGGGCGGGATTCGGGGTCCAGACACGATGCACGGATGTAGCGATGATAGAGAGGTACTGCTAGGCTACGCTTTGGGGATCCGTCTCAGATTCCTCTATTGCTTTTTAATGCGCTGGCTTTGGCTTTAACTATGCCGGGTCTGGCCTCGAGGAGGGGCCGTTGTATCGTGACTGGATGATGATGATGATGTCAGAAGGCTTGGCTAGGGCTTTGGGGCTTTGGGGTCGTCGGGCTTGGGCTTTTGGCGCAAGCTGCTGGGTGTTTGCAAGCTTGTAAAGCTCAAGCTCAAAACCGAAAGAAACACGTCAAGCAACACCTGACCCCTGAAACTCTAAACTCTAAACACCACCTGAACGCTAAGACTCTAAACGCCAAACAAGACCACGAAAGCCAAAACACGAAGCCGAGGCCTCCCAGCACAGAACCACCGGGAACTTTTGACCCAAGGCCCTGCATTCTCCGGACCTCATCAGCCCCTAAGCTCCCACATCGCGATGAAGTAACATCACTGGACACCGTAAACCCGGGTTCCCTTTATCCTACTATTCGGCTTTAATTAATAAAGGGACCCTATTTAGATATAAAACAAAAGGGCAAAAGGGGTACTACTTCCTCAGGAAACCCCAAACCCGGAGCCCTAAACCCCTAAATCCAGCAAAGGCACTTCAAGGACCCAGAGACGGCACCGGCAGCGTCAATCCTGCCGCGCCGTGGCGTACACCCCAAAGCACGAAACGGTCTAGGGCCTAGTCTAGAGTTTAGAAGGGCCCTAAAACCACAGAAATATTTGAAATACCTCAACAACTAAACCATACAAGCACACTACACTCTGCAGACAGCAATGACCCCAAGACCCACATACTGAACTCTGGAGCCATTCGTACATCTCCGAATGCATGAACCACCAGCACCCCAAAATCCCTAATGCAAACCTAGCAAACCTAAAAATTTGTTCAATAAACCAAACATTGAACACCATATTAATTAGTGTGCACCAGCACCTTTCTGTAAACACTCATAACATCCCTCAAGAAAACCATGAACCCCGGGAAAGAAAGTGTATAAATCAACCCCTAGAAACACTAAGGCCTCTAAACCCGAGCCTAAAGCCCTTAGACGTCAAGCCGTAAACCCTCAACCCCAAACAGGTTTAAGTTTAGGGCCAAAAGACCTATAAACCACCAAGGGCCCTGTCGTAACCCTTGCGACGGCCAAAATGCTGAGGGCAAAAAGGCAGAAAGTATAGTAACCCTTGCAGGAAACCTTATTGAAGGAACCTCAAAGAAACCCTACTCGAATTACCCCAAGGACCCTATACCGAAATTATAGTAACCCTTACCGTTGCGGAACCCTAATTTAGAGAACAACCTTTAGACTAAAACTTATAGGAACCTGTACATAATTACAAGAATCCTACAAGGAACCATTAAATACTAGGGAACCTGAACTAAACCCTAATAAACCCCCAAAAAGAACCCTGAAACTACTAAGGCCCCTCGACTAAAACCTATACCTAACTTAGAACCCTAGCACAAATTATGAATTTAGCTGTTTCTTGGGGATTATAATAACCAAAAATTACAAACTATTTCTAAGTACCCCTAAGAAACGCAGCTTTCGACTCCTTCCCACGGGCTGGCCGGAGGCCGAACCTCGGAGCCAGCACGTCGAGGGACTCGACTCCCAGAAGGTCCTCCGAGTTCGTTGCTTCTGTGTCTCGCGTCTTCGTGCGCCGACCTATTTCTATATGGCATCTATATCTATATTCCTGATTGTATGCTTTGTGATATATATATATATATATATATAACTTTAACTATCTATCTACTAATCTGTTGTCTGTGTTTATGTGTATATATATATATATATATGAAACTGACACACACGCACACACGCAGACCTTTCATCCTGCATAAACCCAAACCGCTACACCCTCATACCCAAAGCCCCGAAACGCTAAAGCTCTTAACCTGCAGCGGTAACGTCCCGAAAACCCCCAAGCTCCTCAACAAAAACACCCCTATAGTAGAAGCCAGAAAGTTGGAACATGGTTTTAGGAGGAATAGTGCTAGGATCCCTTATACTTTACCTTAAGGGTATGAGGAACATTATGTTCCAACTTTCTGGCTTCTACTATAAACCCTCAACATAAAATGACAACATATCTTCCAGGGGTCCTAAAACCACTGAGCCTGAAATCCCTCCAAACCCCTGCCAAAAGCAACACTCCCTGGGGTTTAGAGTCAAGCTGTTCAGGGTTCCTCAAAACCCCTTCCAAAAACCCAAACTCCCCGGGCTTCGGGTTTTTGGGGCTTTGGATAACAAAAACTCCCAGGGGTCCAGGTGCGGCAGGCTCCAATCTTCTGGCAGATCTTCGCGCACTCTGCCGGAGCTGCAGCCTGCCAACAGGAAACTCAATAATCAGGGGGCCTTCATAATTTCAATAGTCTTTGGGGGGTAAGAAACTATAATAATAATATTATTAATAGTAATAACATTAGTAGTAATAATAAAATGATGATAACGGGGCCTTACCCTAAGGCTCCTGAGAGGGTCTTGGGCTTTCTGGGGGAGGCTCTTGGCCTTTGGGGGCTAGGGTCCGGGATCTCACTACAAGGGTCCAGGAGCTTAATAAGGTAATAATTAGAATAGGCTTTGGGGTAAAAACTATAATTATAATAAAGGCCCCTATACTACCTATAGTATCCGTTGCAGTTCCTGATTATTTTTGTATTTAGTATTCTATATGATGGCCCCAACAAGGAACTAGAATGGACACGAGAGGCAAAGACATTGACAAATTCCTAGACGATGTAGATGCACACATAAGCTATTTAGAGTCATCCGCTTACTCACAAGAACCACTGCCATATGAACTGGTCTGATATCATGGGCCCATAACCTATCTATGTACACATCCATCCATCCATCCATCCATCCATCCATCCATCCATCCATCCATGCATGCATGCATGCTTGCATGCATGCATGCATGCATGCACACACACACACACACACGTACATACACACATACATACATACATACATGCATAAATACATACATGCATGCATACATACATACAACCATACATACATACATACATACAGATAGACACATACATACACATACATACACATGCGTACACATGCATACACAGGCATACACATACATACGCATACATACACATGCATACACATGCATACACATGCATACACATGCATGACTGTATGCGCATGCATACACATGCATACACGTATATACACATACATACACATAAACACACATACATACACATCCATACACATCCATACACATCCATCCGTCCCTCCGTCCGTCCGTCCGTCCATCCATCCATGCATCCATACATCCATCCATCCATCCATCCATTCATCCATGCATGCATGCTTGCACTTTCATACACACACACACACATGCATCAGCTTACAAGCGAGAAGAAGCTCCACAGCAACATCGAACGCCGAGTGAACCCTCCAACACAGAATGCCCCGAACAAGTACTGGCCTCAAAGTGGTCAGAGTGAGAACAATCGTCTCGGAAGCATCCGCTATTGATGCCCAGCGCTTCGAGATTCCTCGGAGTTGGTTTTGCTCATACGGAAAGTATAGGAACATTGACATGCTTTAACCCTAAACCCTTTAAGGCTTACATAGGCTTCAGGTGTTTTCAAGTCTTAAACCCAAAACGTCCTAATTCCTAAACCCGGACCGCCCAAGTCTGAACTCGACCCTAAACCCTACACGCTAAAACCCTAAACCCTTACCCTAAAACCCTAAACCCTGAAACCCTAAAACCCTAAACCCTAAAACCAAGTCTCACGAAGAGCCCCGAGCCGTCTAAAGACCTGGTGGAGACACCGACTTCGATGCACGCGGGCCACTCTGCCTGCAGCAGAGAGAAGGAGGAGTTTAGGGTTCATACCGTGACAAACAATACACGGGGTCCCTACAAGAAGCATGTTGAACATGGTTAGATAGAGTTGCAAGCCTATACACAAAACCCCAACCACCCTGACACTGAACCCTGACCCAAGTCCCTTTCAAACAGAAACCAGCCAAGCCGCATGTACCGCGCTCCCGATGGACGAGGCCTCATAGCGAAAAAAACAGGAGCAGCAAAGGATCGACATAAACGAGAACTCCGCCCTTGGATTCTCAGTGGTTGGTACCTAAACCCTACCTATAGTCTCCATTGTAGTTCCTTTGTTTGGTTAACCAAAATCTCTTTTATAGGGTCCTAACCATAAAACTGGTTAACCAAGCAAAGGAACCACAATGAAGACTACAGGTACACTGCCCTACACCCTAATGAACCTTAAACCCTAAACGTCAGACGGGTTTCACCACAACTCAGTCTCCGGGTGCAGACGCTTCAGGCTGACGCACGCATTGCAATGCACGATTGTAAGGGTTTTGCGGGCCAAACCCGGCCACTTAAGCAGCCTACAGTAAAGCCATGTAGCCCAATCCTGAAGGATTGAAAGGTGATAAACTCAACAACTTGTGTTCGAAGCGATACCGCCCTTGTAACCCCTCGAATCGCCCCGACCACGGGGAACCCGCTCCAACACCTGCAAAAAATTAAAAAAGGCTCCTAAAAAATCAATAAATAAGCATTGCGCCTGGACGTGGTCCTAAACCCTAAACCCTCCCTGAGCCTTAACCCTAAACCCTATATAAAACCTAAACCCTCCTCCCTGAACCTTAATCCTAAACACTATATATACCCTAAACCACCCAAAAAAACACCGCGCCTGGACGTGGTCCTGCCCCAGGGTATCGAGCCGCAGATCCGCCTCGCTGGCGTTGATGTCTGGCCGGGTTCCCTGGCACCTTGGACTTTAGGGGTTTAGGGTGTTATGGTGTAGTAATATAGGCAATATAGGCAATATAATTATTAGAATAGAGTTTTGGAGCCCATTATACTATAATTTGAATAAGGACCCCCCCAACATAGTATAGGCAAGTCTTTAGGCCCGAATATTATGGGGTTGAGCGTCTGAAGCTTTCTGTCTGGGCTTGCTCGGCACTTGGCGGTTGGGTTGGGGCCTTGAGAAGCGACGAGCAGACGAGCAGTGATTGTAAACACATATACATATATATATATATATATATATTACCTGGGCTCAGAGACAAAACAAAACAAAAGCATACACGTTTGCTCCTCTGGCGCGGCTCACCGACGGCGAAGTCTGACCGCAGCAGGTTAAAGTACTGGATTTTGGGCTCGCTTCCGTCCAGCATCTGCACTTCCCAGACAGTGTCCTGTCGGGACTGCAGTCGAGAGGTATGGGCCAGATTCCGGATTCTTTTTCAGGAATGTATTCAAGGTTATCGAATCTTAGGAAAGCCAAATATTTACTCTCTAGATCCCTCTCATGGTAATTTCTATCGAACTTCTTGACAAGAACCCAGGGTTTGGCATGGAGATTGTTAGGTTTGCGGATATACGGGCTTGGGTATTTCATGAGCGAAAGTTCAGGATACCCCGCCACAACAAAACAACCCAAACCCTGCACCCACAACCCTAATTAAGCTTGAAACCCTAACCGGCATAACAAGCCCCCCCCCCACCCCCCACCCCTCAAAACAAACAACAACACCTCTAAAACTAAACCCTAAACCCAACAAACGAACAACAACGAAACTCAATTAAAACTGAACAAAAAACACGCGAACATTAAACAACCACTCAACGACAAAGATAACCCTTCCCAGCTCATCCTGTGTCCCGGGCTCACCGGTGACCCGAAGCTGAGCCAGCAGCAGAACTTCTCGGCCACTCGGATCCTTCAACGGCTTTAGAATAGGGTTTTGGGGCCATTATACGCTACATATAATACGGAACCCCCAAAATAGTATTGGCAATTATTAAGGCCCCCACATTAAGACGGCTTTTGTCAAACGGGTTTGGTATAGGTTTGTCTCAAGGCTCTATCGATGTTTTGGAAACGTTTTATGCGGATTGTATGAATTAGGTCTGTAGAGGATCTAGAATGGTTTCATTCTGGTATGCACGAGGATTTTACGATGAAGTTTGTCTGAAGCCTAACACCCTGCCGCCGAGAATGTCCCCCCAAGATTCCCAGTTTTCACAGAATCAGCTTCATAAGCCCTAAACCCTAAACCCTAAGTTTAGTGGTAAGCTTCTCATAGGGGCCCAAAAAGACCACTTTCACCTACGGATCTTCGGATTCAGGTTTTCTGGAATCCGCTCCATAGACACTCTTATACCCTAAAAGTCGGAACGGTTTAGGGTCGGATCCGTGTATTTATATAGTTGCCTTTTTCGGGAGCCGCCCTGAATGCGGAGCCCAAGAGTCCTCCCCGCCGCGCTGGCGGAGCCTTAGACGACTCTTCGGCGCGAGCTGCCGAATCTCTGCCTCCCCGAGTTCACGCCAGCCGGCAGAACACTCGGCCAGGTGCTCCTTGCAAAAAGCTACGGTTTGGGGTGTTGGGCTTAGGGCGTGGACTTGAAGATGTTGGGAAAGGGTGTAGGGCACAGGTGCAACATTTAAGTTTAGAGTGACGTTTCAAGTCGCTGCCGCCTGCTGCGATGTACACCGTCCTCTCCAAACCCCATCAGGTTTAAACTCCACAAACCCCATAAACCTAAACCGCGAGCGCTTCAACCTTCACAAGCCTAACCCTGAAAGCCGTAATGTAGACCTGTAGCCCCGCCCGCCCGCAAAAGAGCAGGGACCCCATGAATATCGAGACCCAAGGGCCCATGCACGTATGCAGTATGTACTTGGGCCTTACTCAGAAAGTTCCTATATAGGAACTTCAGAGGCAAAGTGGTTTGTATGCGAGATATGGACCTTGAGGTGCACAGCACTTAAAGGAATAGGTTGTTGGGTCCCTAGGTAGAGACCCAAATCCCTAAATCCGAAACCGTTGCAAAATCCCTATAGACCTCTTCTAGAGCCCTGTAGTAGATAACAGAAACCTCAGTTGCAACCACAGGCCCACAGGTAGCTCCTGGACTTGGGCAGGCTCTTTGCTGCTCTGTCCCTCCAGCTCCTCGCTACGATGATCCAGTTCTTTCAGCAAGGACGCTGCCTCGTGCCTGGGAAGGAGACATACGGTGTGTTTAATGTTGGGGCCGTTTGTATTGGAATCTGCGGTTCCGGGGCATTGGTGTCGCAGAACTTTAGAGGGACTAGAAGGGCGCATCAGAAACAAAAAACAGCCCTACATCAGCTTTTAAGGGCCTCAGGCTCACGGCTAAGAGGACTACACAGCCTCTGTGGGGAGGAGGCTGGGTGGGGATCGGGGACGTGCTGTGGCGAGGGAGACTGGTACGGAAGGGGACGGGGGTAGTCCTTCAGTTTAAAGGACCAAGACACGGAGTACTATAGGGGCCTAAATGATTACCGGCCTATACTATTTTTTGGGGGGGTTCTTGTTATATTTATAGTCTAAGGGGCCCCCAAACCCTATTCTAATTATTACGGCCCCTATAGCATCACCGTCCTAGGCCCGCCCAATCCAGCAAACTCCCACAACACAAATCCTCACCCCGAACACAACACCGGTTGCCTGGCATTAGAGACCTAATCCTCAGCCGAACCATCCCAAAACCTTCAACCCTAAAACTCCAAAACTCTAAAACCTGAAACCCCTAAACAACCTGTAACTTCACAAGCCTGACACCTCTAAAGACCCTATAATTTCGCAGCCGAGGTGCAGCGCCCGGAGGGTGGGAGAGGCCTCGTGCCTCGCGAAGTGGGCGGCCTCCTTGGCCAGCAGCTTCTGCAACGCCGACTCCGAGGCGTCCTCCAGTCGGACCTCCGGCGTTTGGTTTAGTATAGGGATTAGGAGTTAGGGTGTATGTAGGGTTTGAGGGTTAGGGTTTAGGAAAGTTGCGGGGTGTAGTTGAGGTTGAAAACAAGTGCTAATTCGTGATTAAGTGCTATCGGGATCTCTGGTTCCTGGCAAGCTTGTTGGCTTTCCGTTTGTAGGGCTTGGGAGTTTTAGGGCCTGGGGAGCGTCAGTCAAGCTTTTCTGGGGATTGTTGTTCAGGCTTCCGGGGTGTAGGGCATAAACGTTGAGCAGTAGAACTTCAAGGTTTGGTGCCGATGCATTTCCTCACTCCCCCAGGTATCTCACCAAAGCTCATATACAATTAGTTCTAAAGCATGCATAGAATATCATACGTTGTGACGCTGACAAACATACACACAGACGAACAGCAAAAAGTACATGCATATATGTGTACATACATACATACATACATACATGCATGCATAGACAACTAACCAACAAGGTAATATGCCCCAAGACCCTATTCTAATTATTCAGGCCCCTATATTAACCCAAGGCTAATAAGCAATCGTCAAGTCCCTTACTCTAAACCCTAAACCTTAAACCCTATACCCTAAACCTTAAACCCTAAACCTTAAACCTAAGACTCTAAACCTTACACCCTAAAGCCTAAACCCTATACCCTAAACCTTACACTCTAAACCCTAAACCCTAAACCTCAAACCTATAGACTCTAAACCTTACACCCTAAACCCTAAACCCCCTTGGGGCCCGGCCTCCTCCCAGGCGCCCGGTGTGCGGATCCGCGCGTTCGCCTCGGCGGCCTCGGCTTCGTCGGGCTCCAGGGGCAGAAGCTGCGGAGAGAGGGCGATGGTCCTGAGTTCCATAGGCAATCAATAGATGCATATATATATATATATGTGCATGAGATATAGATATATATAGATATAGATATCCATATCGGTATATAGATAAAAATGTAGATATAGACATTTACATAGCGTATATATACAGTACATGACAGTGCAAAACTACTCCTAAATAAGGGACCATAACGGTATATAATAGCATGTTATAGTGTCTTAGAGTTTTGTAATTTATGTAACCTATGTTATAGTATACTAATCCCTTCCCCCTAATATTGAACTGGGGGGGCGAGGGTTCACAGAATGTAAGGGTGAGGAAGTTTAGGATTTGGAGCTACCAAGAATCGTGTAGAGGGCACGGCGGCCCCCCGATGCAGCCAGTGTAGGCACCGGGATCCAGCTCTCGTGGTTGTCTTGTCCAACGACGCCTAGGCTCCCCCCAAAACAGTTGAAACAATCAAGACCCTGAACCCACCCCACCTCAAAGAAAAGAACATTAAACGCACCAGAAGTATAAAATACGAAAGAAGTGCAACACTGGGTTCATGTTAACGAAGTGAACTTAAGTTACCATAACAAAGAAGCCATATGCTTTACTATAGATCCGAATTCTAGTAACTTAAACTGAATTCCTTAACAAGAATCCAGAAAAAAAAAAGGTCTCTATCATGGTGACTTAACCTGAATTCCTTAGCAAGAGCCCCAGAAACAAAAGTGTACTACGTCGCGGGAGCTAGGATGCCGGGCGTTTTAAGTAACCGGGGAAAAAAGTATACACTTTTATTTCATAATGGTTCCTTTAAGAAGAAAAGGATTAAGGTATGGTATTCCAAAGCCCAGGATGCCAGGAGCTCCCTCCATGGATTTCAGATCGAGAGCTAGCCTGGGCTTTGAAGTAACCAGGGAGAAACAAGTATAGACTTGGGTGGTTGTCAAAATTGGGGTCCCTTTTTGGGTCCCCATTATAGTACGGCACCTAATATTTAGGGTACAGAAAAAGGGACCCTAATTTTGACAACCACCCACTTTTAGTTCATAATGGTCCCCTTTTAGAAAAGAGTGGCGGAGGGAATTGAGGTACCATACTGTTTAGTAACAGGTCCCCAAAAAAGTATTAAAGTATGGTATTGGAGGCCTCAAAAGGTGGGATGAAGGTAGGTAGGATGAAGGATCCCTTATATCAGCACTCTTATTTGGAATTACCCCACCTACCTTCATCCTACCTTTTGAGGCCCCTGATGGTACTTCAAAGCCCAGAAGCTTCTCTGCTGGCGCCTTGAGCTTCTGACCCTGCTGATGGAGGACATCCTCTGTACTTAAAGGATCATGGGACTTAGTAACTAGGGCTTGTTAAAGGGCTCCTTTAAAGGGGATCTGTAGGGTTCTATTATAAGAGGGGTTTATAGGGTCTATTTAAAAGATCATGAGACTTAGTAACTATAGGGTTATAGTCAGGATAACTATACGTATAACCCCAACTGGGGTACTTATAACCTTACTTACTAAGTCCCATGATCCTCCAAGTAGGGCTTGAGGACTATAGGGTTTAGGGGTTAGGGTAGAGATATAAGGGTATCAGTTTAGGGTATTTGGTTACATCCTCTGTAGGGCTTAGGAACATGGTTTAGATATCAGGGTCATTATAGTTTGGGGTCTAGGGTTACATGTCTCTGTTAGGCTGTAACGTTAGCGGTCTAGGGGTTCAGGAGGTAGCATCTAGACCAGGACTGTTACCCAGAGGGTCCATGTATACTACCATTATGGAACTATGTCCCAGAAGACCATCCCTATTGTGGCTTTGGGGGCCTGATTCCACAATGGTAGTATATATGGACTCTCTAGGATCGTTAGAGCTCATATTGAGGGTCCTCTGCAGAAACATCCTCTGCAAGCAGGTGGATCAGGGCCATACTGCCAGTCTCGCCACTGGGCAGTCTGCCAGCAGGGTCCTTCAACCAGGCATCTACTGCCGGAACGAGCACCTGCAAACGTCTCAAGACCAGGGGCAGCCTTGTGCTGCATCTACCATGGGAGCCTTAATGAGTGTAATAAAAGTGTATAAGCCTTACCCATGCATTGAGATCAACTCTTCCACTGCAGGGGCCGCAACAACATAGAATAGGGTTTTGGGGCCATTTATACTAGAATTATAACAAGGACCCCCCCAAATAGTAATCAATTATTGGCAGTGTAGGAACCTGATTAAGAAACCTTGGGCCTTTGTTAAGGTTCCGTTTATGAATCCTACTATTCTGGGGTTATAGTCCCAGGGCTTTATTGATCAGGTTCCTACATTACTTCTCTAGGCTCCTCTATTACTCTTCTTACCATTTCCGTGCGGCCTCCGCGGGTGGCTTCTTCGGGGAAGCGCTTCCCAACTGCGCCGCGACGGAGGCCACGAGCTGTGGGCTCAGCGCGCGGCGCCCTGCGGCGCCGCCACAGCAGCGGTCCTCGGGGCTAGGGGAGGCGGCTTAGGGTTTACCTGGACCCCAAAAGTATGTAGAATAATAGCCTTTTATAGCTTTGGGCCAATATTTTACCTACTTTGGGGGGTTTAGGTATAGGGCCTTAGGCCAGGGTTTAGGGTTTAGGGTGCATTCAGAGGTTTCGCTGTCTGGCTTCTAGGTGGCTTAATCAAGCCCGCCGAAGGTTTGGGATCGTTTAGAAGTGTAGGATCCGGGGCTGGAGTTTTCCACGTTTCGGTTTTCGCATCAGGAGCATCTAGTGTTTAGGGCTTCTAGAAATATTGCCATGAAGGAGCAAACCCAGTATGAATGAACAACCCCAGAGGTCGATAATGGTATAGCAAATTATACACATCAACGATTTGAACCCTGGATCTATGCCGAAGTATCGGGCTCCTCTGCGTTGTACCGTTGTACCAGTAGCACTTTGTTGGGGGATACCTATAGTGATATAGTGCCCATTGTAGATTCTTCTATTCAACCAACTGTATACCTTAACCTACCAAACCCTACTTATTTGTAGGGTCCCTATAAACGGAACCACAATGCAGAGGACCGGTAGGGCTATTCCTTAACATAGATCCCTAGCGCTCTGAACCCTAAAGTATATAGACCTTACTATCGCAACTTAAAGTGAACCCCTAAATCCAAAGCCCTACCTTAACCCTGAATAACCTACCTTTTTAGGGTTCCTGACTATGATATCCTTATATAAGTCCTCAAAAGGGTAGGTTATTCCGGATTAAAGTAAACCCTAAACCCGAATGTGTGTCCTTGTCACGTGCTGAAAGATCCGATTCAGCACCCCAGCACCGGTCTTCGAAGTCCCCCACGCTGCAGCAGTCGGCGAAGGTTTGGGGCTTGCCTGGTTCGGGGCTTCGGGTTTAAGGGGTTTAAGTTTAGGGCTTATATTTCAGGGTTTAAGGTGTATAAGGTTTAAGTTTCGGGCAGATTTTCCAGGTTCCAAATTTATAGCGTTTAAGTTCAAGGTTTGTACGGTTTAAGTCTAGGGGTTATCGGGTTTAGGATTTCAGTTTCACTGTCTACATTTAGGATTTTCCAAACCCTGAACCCTAAACCGCTTTTCTTGCGTTCCTTCGAAGCATCGGCCGTGGTCCAAGTCAACGAAGCCAAGCTGACTCAGCACACCTTGGTTGAGGTTTAGGGTTTGGGGTTTAGGGTTTTGAGGTTTAAGCGTTCGGGGTAGGGACGATATAGATGCCTTAATGAGTCGAGTAGCTTTGTCTTCGTGTGCGGTGCCGGCATATTATTCTGTCGCTATATCTGTATTGAAAACCATCTGGCCCAATCCCGAAAAGTAGTAGGGTTTTCGAATCCACAGGTAAGGTTTAATTCTTGCCCACAGCAGCACAAACTTTGCGCTTTGCAGTTCCAGAATTTCCCAGGGGCTAACTATCGCATATCCCCCCAACCCGTGCTGAACATGTGCAGTCACCCGTCATTTGCAGGGTTTAACCTGCACTGCACCTAAAGCTCTGTGCCAGGCCTTTGTGCACTTCCGCCAGCACTCCTCGCCAACCTTGATGATGCTGAGTCCTGCAACGTCAATGGCTGGGGAAATGGAGAAAGGAATCTAGGGTTTAGTTTAACTTCCATAAGCCCAAAACACCTACCTGGTTTCGGAGCTATGGGGCTTAAGACAAGGTTTTTGGCTGTACGCTCTAGCGTCTCTAGGGCCTTCGGGGCATAAAGCTTGTTGGCTCATCGTCTGCACAACGACGCAGAGGCGCCGGGGGCGTAAACCCGAAATCCTAAGTGCTAGCTCCATGGTGCAGGGAACCTCAATCCTCAACCTCTACTGGGCCCAAAAACCCTACAAGCAGCTCCATCTGAACAGCGAGAACTGCCCTGTGGGTTATCGAGCCTCACACCATCGGCGTGCTGCTTTGAGGCCTCCTGCAGACCCTCCTCGCAGCACAGCAGTGCACAGGGGGTGGGAGGTTTCTTTCAGCTGACAACCGCGGCTGGCCTACAACAGTAAGGATACATATACGTATAGTTAGATAGATAGATAGATAGATAGATGGAACGACAGATAGTGTCTACGAACAAGGCGTTTGCAGGTAGCGATCCGGGCGCTGAACACAAATGGGGTGAAGAGTTCTAGCCATGCTACGGCCCTGTCAGCACTTTTCTAGTCCTGCACAGCTTCGGACTGTGATCGGGATGATCGCGATGATGCAGGAACTGGAAGTGATGAAACCATCAACTCATGTTCGGCTCCTGCTGCTCCTTGATGGACTCCCTCATCCTGCAACCAAAAGGCCAACCCCTACAACATGAAAAAGGGTTTTTCTTGGGGGTTTAGGGTTCAGGGTGTCGGGTTCGAATTTCGGGGGTTTGGGATGCTACTGCTACCAGTGGTGCAGTAAGTATATGCTGAGCTGCCTCCGCCCCCTTTGAAGGCCCTGCTGTCCCTTTGCTCTGCGAGTCCCCCTTTTTGTTCAATCGGAGATGCAAGATATGGGTGGTTGTCAACATTAGGGTCCCTTTTTGGGTACCCTAATTAATAGGTGCCGTATTATAATAGGGACCCAAAAAGGGGAAATTCCATAATGTTGACAACCACCCATATGCAAGAGGCCCATCCAGACTCTTTGCCACAAGCACTCTGGAAGGCTAGTTCCTGCATCCTGGACCGGCGCACCCACAGCTCACCCATGACCAGCAAGCCTAGCAGAAAGAAAAACGAAACAAGCTCAAGTGCCGACAATCGTCTGTTGCAGCTGCATCCGTATGATGAGGCCAGCAGCACGCAACGCGCAGAATGGTGCGATTCCTGCCAACAGCAAGGACTCTGAGTCGTAGCCTTCGCCCCCCAGGAAGACTCGCAAAAACGGACTTACAATGCTGGGGAACTGCTGGGGATCAATGTTTGTCTTTCTTTCCGTCTTAGGTCTAATCTAATCCTACACCCCCCCTTAGAACCATAGAAAACAAGAGTGGTTTTAATTCCCTTGGGTTTTATATGAACAAAAATGAGAAATGATCCCTAAGGAGACTATAGAATCACTATGACTCCCGGTCAGCAGTCAGTTTGTTCGCCTTGCTTCTGCTAGTCGTGGGTCTTTAGCCGCCATGACTGCATTATTCTTTCAGGACCATGAGCAGATTGACATGAGAACAATGAGAAGTACTCTTGCTTGTAAACTTATTCTTGCTGCTGCTGCTGTTGTTGTTGCTGTTGTGATTCTTGTCCTTGAAGCCACGGAACCACTACAACAGAGACATGGATGTGTTCCTTGATCGGATCGCAAATGAACTGGAAAAACTTCCATGGAGGAATAATGGAAACCAACATGAATTCCTGATGCCCTAAACCCTAAACCAAAACCCCAAACCCCAATCACACAAAGGAAGGGAACTCCCCGGGCGCCCAGTCTAAGGTGCGGACGTGCCAAGTGTGGCCAGCGCTGGCCAACCTGGTTCGGGGATAGCCGTGATAAGGATGACCACAACCAGACGCACGAGAACAGCAATCAAAAAGCTCATGCAAAACCTAATACACCACTGTTCTGGAAGGACAGGGTAGGCTGTGTCGGTCCCAAATGGAATGGGCTTCCAGGGAGTCTCGCAGACCGGTATGCAGTTTGATCGACAGAAAGCAAGGCCCAAGCACGACCCAACAATCCGAAAGCCCTTCAACCGAAACCCAGTACACTCAGTAATACTATCCCCGTGAAATCCCTGTGCAACTACAGGTTTTCAGTCAGTACTCAGTACACTATACATACGTATACACATATACACAAAAAATATAGGTGGTTGTCAGTTGTCAATATTAGGGTCCCGTTTTGGGCCCTAATTATAATACGGCACTTCATATTTAAGGCACCCAAAAAGGGACCTTGATTTTGACAACCACCCATATATACATACATGCACCTCAACACCCTACTCCCATCACCGCTAAACCACCCTGCAGGCCCCCGAAGCCTTGGACACTACCTATGTGTCCGTTGTAGTTCCTTTTTGGGGTTAGGGTTTAGGGTTGAGGGGTTTAGGGTTCAGGGGTTTAGGGTTTAGGGGTTTAGGGTTTAAGGGCTTCAGGGTTTAAGGGTTAGGGTTTAGGGTTTCGGGATTATCCCATTTTATACCTGGGACCTAGGATTCGACAAGGTAACCCCAAAACGGAACTACAACGAAGACTGCAGCGATAAAGCTCTGAAACCCAAACTGGGCTCTTCTTGAGGATCAGAATTTAAGCTATCATAGTAATACGGAAACAATCTTGGTAACTTAAACTAAGGCAATTCAGTTGAGTTCCTTTTTCAAGAACTCAGTAAGGCCTTCCCCCGAGGCCACGGAAATCCACTTAACCACCGAATCCGACAAGATAGAACTAGAGCCCTCGCCCGGACCTAAACGGTAAAGCCTTAACCCCTACACCAAAACCCTTCAAAACCTTCAAGACTCCGAATTTTAGCCAGCACTGAGGCCCCCTAGGGTTTAGGGTTTATGGGTAAAGGGTTTAAGGGTTTAGGTTTTTAGGGTAATGCTCTTCGCTGGACTCTAGTGCCTCGGCTAAGTGGTGCGTCAGCCGCCGGGAGAAGCGAATCAAGGGGTCTTTCGACTCCTTCCAGATTCTCGCTTTTCTGTACCCTAAGCCCCAGAGACCCTACAACCTATAGACGCTTTTGCACAGGCGTGTGTGAATCCCGCCCTTTGGACCCCAAACCCTGTCATGACTTTCCTGCACCCTAAGCTCTATAGACCCTATAAGCCCTGCAGATCCTAAACCCTATGGGGACTTCCTCCAGGTCTGGCTTGGGGGGTTGGCCTTTGGCATATGGGGGCTTGATTGGGTGGCCTAGGTTTCGGATTTACTGTACTAAGGCTTATAATCAATGCAGCGTTTAAGGCTTTGGGCTCATGGTCGATGGCGATTCTACCTTGACGCTGTGGCTAGGACTGGCAAGATGAAATTCCTTTTCTTTCTGGACCTGTTTCCCTAGGGCTAAGGACTCATATATTAAGGCTTTGGGGCTCAAAAACCATACTATATAAGGCGTTTGGCTATCTTGATGCCTGGGGTTTAAAGTTTAAAGGTTGGGATTTTTCTGACGAGGAAAGAAGTTGTACGTTTAGAATAGCTCCTCCTCGTCTTCGACGAGCAAACCCCTCTTGGCTGCACGGAGGAGACGATCGACGAGCTCCTGGAGTAGACCCGGGGGAGTTCTCAAAAGCGGTCGAGAGGGTTGCGCAAGGTCTTGTGACAGTTTAGTTTCAGCAAGGATTTCGGAAGGGTTTTGTGGAGCTTTGGGGTTAAGGGACTAGGTTTGAGGGTTTCGGAAGGGATTCTATGGGGTTAACGGATTTGGGTTGGGAGTTTAGGGGCTCTAAGGGTTCAGGGTTTGGAGTTTTCGGGTTTACGGGCTCTTCGACACGGTTTTGAGTGGAGGGACTCCATGTGGGTGGTTGTCTAGATTAGGGTCCCTTTTTGGGTACCCTAAATAATAGGTGCCGTACTGTATTAGGGACCCAAAAAGGGACCATTAGTTTGACAACCACCCATGTGGGATGCAGGATTCCTGATACGATGCAGTTTCGCTCAGCCCTGAAGCCTAAACACCCCAACCCTAAACCAGATTGAGCAGTGCTGCAACTTGACCTGAAGCTTGTGACTTCTGACCACTAGCCCCCTCAGACATGCAGACCTCATCATGTGCATAGGCCCGAAATCTCCCCTAAACCCCTGACAGAACAATAAGATGCCAAGACGCTAGCTCCTGAGCCCACAGCCGGAGCTCGGGTTTCAGGTTTGTTTTTTTGTTAAGCGTCCCTTTTTCGACCAGCAGATCCGTTTGCTCATCGGGTTTCAGGGTTTGGGGCTGAGGGTTTGAAGTTTCGGGCTCGGGCTCCTGGTCGTTTTTTGGGGCACTGAAGGGAGTCGAGCCGATGCTAGCAGCTTGATGCTAGAGACAGGCAGACAAACCGAGAAACGCATAAAGGCGAACACGAAGAGTGATGGAGAGTAGACCCTGCACCCTTCAAGTAACATAACTTGCGTTTGAAGTTGCTGTTTTGCATCTTCAAGTAATATCTACAAGGGCCCTACTGAAAAGGGTAGGTCAAGATAATCCCTCACCCTTGGTCCAACCCCAAACCTAGCTAGAGCCGTATGGGCCAGAAGGTGGGTACTAAACCCTCAACCACTAAACCGGTCCTGCTTCTCCAGGGGCGGAAGCTCATCCTGCCCGATTGAAGACTCGTGGAACCCTTTCGGGCACCCAGAAACTGGAAGCCTTAAACCCTGATTGCACATGATACATAGTGCATAAAAATTGGATAAGCACCGTATAGCGCATGATGTAGGTAAGCGTGTGTGGGTGTATGTCTATGTGTTTATGCGTAATATATATATATATATATATATATATATTACACATGAACCCTCCAGAAACGGTTCAGGTCTAGCTTAGGGTTTAGGATGGAGAGGAACGCTAAGTCTTGAACCCTAGCCTAAGCCCTACACCCCAAATCCTCCTTATTCTGTGCCAATTATGAATGGCTTGGGTCAAACAGTTTTGCTTAAAATGTGTCCTTTTCGGACAATTGGGTGCTGTGACCTTGGCCTTTGACCCTGTGGCCCCAAAACCAATAGGAACCCCAAACGGGTTGAAGGTTCATATACCATATAGGGAGTTCATAGTTTGAGGTTACAGGGCCCCTACTTTTTACAGCTCATTTTGTCCTTGAGGCTTAACCCTACACCCTCAACACACCCAAACCCCCACCAAAACCTCCGGGGACTCAATAGCTTCTCGGGTTTCGGGTTTTGGGGCATGGTGTTGGGGTGGCCTGGATTCGAAGATTCTGCAGGTGGTTTGTAACTGGGGGTAGAGTGTAGACAAGGTCTCGCGCCGACAGGGCTCGAGGGTGTGGACGCGTGTTTTCAAGATTTTTGGGCGGGCTTTTGATCGGGATGCAGATTGAAGGGAGGTGCAACGTCGGGGCCTGAATAGACTGGGTTTTACAGGTTCTTGAAAAGGCTCTACAAGGGTCCTGTTGGGGTTGATTAAGAATTCCTCTTTGGGGCTTCCGACTTCCGCTTGTGACATTTCTGAAAGTTAGTAGGGCTCGGTAAACCATGGGGGACATCGGCTGGTCAAAGCCGTCAGACAATGATGTCCCTTACAATCCCTGGAGAAGTATCGCATGATATACTCTCAAAAGCTATAGAAGGCCCTACATATTGAACAACACCTCCGGCTGCAAACCTCAAACCCTAACCCGAAATGAAACCCAAACCTCAAACCCTGAACCCTAAACCCTATAAAACTATAAAACCCTAACCCTATAAACTAAACCCTGTAAGACATCCCCCGCTCCTGAGGATCCGTGCCCACAAGCTCCGACTGAATCTGCTTCAGCGCTGATTGGAGGCGGCTGGTGGGCCACTTCCTGAACTCCTGCTTAGTCTAGGGGCGTCTAGGGTTTGGGCCTAAACTTTATATCCTGAAATCCTGCTTCTTACAAGGCTCCTCGGAGTATTTCAGTTTATGGTTTTGCATGCGTGTTTGCAGTTGTAAGGGAGTTGCGGTTGTCAGGGCCATTCCATCTCGGGGGTTTGTAGTCGATTCAAGGTTTTTAAGCCCTAAACCCTGATTGCTTGCGCCCCAGTATCCCGTAAATAAGAATTGAGGATACGCTGTGCCCTATCATCCAGCGGTAGCAAACAGAGCAAACAGACCGCAAAAGGTACCGGGCCGCCCCCCCCCCCCCCCCAGTGGTATCCCGCCCCCCCTGCCCTGCTGCTGCACGCCCACCCGCGCTGCCGCCCCCGCCCTGCACCTTGCCCGCCCCTTGACCTTGTGAACGGATCGGGAGTGTCGCACTATGCCCTGCCGTGTGCGGAAAGCGGCCATCGGCGAGTAGTTTCCAGCATCTGACATGAATTGCACTTCTGAATTATGAGGGTTGTATGGCGATGGTGATGGTGGCAGATATTCTTTTGAAGGTATTAATGATGAAGATGACGACGACAAGGACGATGTTGAGCATGGTCTGTTTTGTCGACTCATGCCCCGGTCTAGAGCAGCACAGCATCATGAGCAGTATCACCGGTGCCACAGCAAGAGGGAAGACAAGGAGTAGCACATAAGAACGTCGCGGCAAAAAGAGTACCACCACAGGCCCCACACAACAGGGGGAGGCGGGGGGGAAGGGGGGAGGATACCATGGGGTGGGGGGGGAGGGGGGTGTGGCAGCCCTGCATCATATATGGGTAACGCCGCGGACCCTGGTTGATAAACTTCTTTAAAGCCAAGCAAAGGTCGAACTAGATGCCAAAATGTAGATCTAGAGAGATCCACTATAAAACTGTAACACCAATAAAATCCCACTACAAAACTGAAAAGACCAACTGTAAGACCTATGTAACAACCCACTGCAAAACCTGTGAAAACCCACTGTGCAACCTACACTTTACATCTCTTAAACGGGCTCCTCTTCGTTCAGCTCCCGCAAGGGCTCGCCGGCATGTACCTGCCAGCGGCAAAGAAAGCCCTGACTTTTGGGATCCCTCCGGCAGATACTAAACAACTGAAGCAGCAAATCTACGTAAGCGTCCTGAATTGACACGCCACTTCCTGGGAGGCTCATGCGTAGTTATAAGTAGGGTTACAAGTCCCCCATAGTAGGGTCTATGATTACGCTAACCCGACATATCCTATACTGAACTTAGAACCCTAGCAAAAATTACAAGTTTAGCTGTTTCTTGGGGATTCTAATAACCAAAAGTTTAAAAAATATTGCTAAGTGCCCCTAAGTATCAACCCCACTGAACTTCGCCTTTTAGAACCCTTATAAACCTCTTATAAAACCGGGTGAGCCTCCAGCTTGGGCTCTCCAAACCTGCGGCAAAGTCTTTACGGCCAAGAGTTCAGAGGATGGAGGCTTCAGGGTCCCGGATTTAGGGTATATATTTGTATATATATATATATATATATATATATGTATGTATATGTATGTATATGTATGTATATGTATATATGTATATATGTATATATATGTATATATGTATATGTGTATATGTGTGTATATATATATATATATATAGAGGGTTCAGGGTTTTAGGGCTTAAGGGTTCAGCGGAGGGAGGGGGACGCCGAGGTCGCCCTGGCTACAGGGACGACACTTGCTAGGACTTGCTGGTTTTCTGGACTTGCAAGGTTCAGGCACAGCGGTGCATAAGCGATGTATCCTCTGCCGACTGGAATCAGCAGAAAAAGCAATGCTTTCCCTCCCGGGCCTCACTTCCAGAACATTGCCTGCAGCGGGAACTTGCCAGTACCTGTGAGTCTAACGATTTCGGGTCGCCAAGAAGGCCGCTGTGGTGTGAATGCTCCGTATCAACATCTGGGTGGTTGTCAAAATGAGGGTCCCTTTTTGGGTCCCTATTATAGTACGGGCACCTAGTATTTAGGGTACCCAAAAAGGGGCCGTAATTTTGACAACCACTCATCTGTTTGAGGGGGAAAGCCGCTTGCGGAAAGCTTTCGGTCTAGAACACTTGCACGGCTGCACTACAGCCCTACAACAAATCACAGAATCCCTGTAATCAATCAAAGTGTAAAAGGAGGGACCCCTAATAAGGACCCTAGGTATATACCCATAATATAGCCATTATATACCCATTCTCCATTTTAGGGTAGGACATTAAGGGTCCCTCCTTTTCCGCTTTGATTTAAACTTAGGGCCACGGAGGCCCTACGGCCAACGCCGTAAGCTGATGCACCAGCATGCGCAGACATTGAGAACTAAGGGACTTGTTTCGGGGTCATCACCACAGACAGAGAGTTTAAAGCTTTTGACACCCTGACAGTCGACGCCTTAATCAAAAGATCTGAATGGAGGCGTTTGAATGGCTCCCAAAATGTAATTTTTCTAAAACCACACCCAGAGCCCTCAACCCTATTAAACACACCCGTTTCTACTTGTTAGGGCCGGCCCTAAACCCTAAACCCTAATCCTAGGCCCAGGACTTCGGCGGTGGGCACGGTATCCTCGGGCACTCCATGACCAACCTGCGCAGCCAGTTTTACTTACCCAAAGGGGCCAAAGTACCTTTATAGTAGAATGTAGGGTTTCTATATTAGGAATTACTACTATGAGTTGGGGAACCCCTTTGGGTTACTGTAGGTTAAACTGGTTGCGAAAACGAACACCCAACTAAATATTCCTTCCTTAGCCGAACATAAGACTCTGAGCAAGGTTAAAAGAAGCAAATACTGTCTATAGTATAGCAGTAATGACGACTCCATATTAAGAGTCTCACACTAAACGCAGAAACCCCCACATGGGTGGTTTTCAATATTAGGGTTCCCTTTCGGGTCCTCATTATAGTACGGCACCTAATATTTAGGGTACCCAAAAAGGGGCCATAATTTTGACAACTACCCAAAAGGTTCAGGGTCGTGGGTCTTCAACCCGACAGTTCGGTCTAAGGCTCGAAGCTGCGGCCGCTCCTAGCTGAAGAATGATTAGACTGAGGTTTTAGGTGGGGTTTAGGGGTTTATGGGCTTTAGGGTTTGGGGTTTTAGTCGGGAACGAACCCTGGGGGAATGACACCACGAATTACTGAGGCCACTCAGGTCCTTTAGCGTGTCGGGGATAAGCTTGGCACACGGTGAGAACATCCCCTTGAACTCCAGACTGCTATCCGAAACATTAAGGCCACGGTGTGGCCAGCGGAGTTGAATGCAGCAGGCGAAACTTCCCGTGCCTGGAAGGTACATCCCACGCCTGCCATCTCGCTTCATTCTACCCTAGACCTAGAAGAGTGCTATCAGGCTACTATACGGGATTCTGAAGCATGCCATAAGCATTCCTATAGGGACTGCTGGAGTTGGCCCGGGGCTTTATGACTTCACGGTTCTGCGGTCTGGGAGTTCGGCTTTTTCCGGGCTCCTCGGCTAGGCTTTAGGGTTTAGGGTTTGAGGAGTACAACAGACCGGAAAGCGCTCTGTTTTTTGCTTCCGGGCTTGGATTTTTGAGTTGTCAACCTCGGGGTTCCGGCTGTTTTCCTGTCTTTACGGCAAGCTTCCGGGCTTGGATTTTGAGGTGTCAGCTTCAGAATTCCGGTGTCTAACTCAAGGCATCTGCTGGTGTTGCGTCTGTGTTGTGGCAGAGCGTCGTGAAGAAAAGGTGAAGGCAAACACCTTGAAGCCAAAAGCACATCTTTGGGGTTTAGGGTTTAATTTTACCTGAGCCCTATACAACTTTCTTTTTTAGGGTTCCCTATAGTGATTTCCTTATATAATATAATATAATATATATATATATATATATATATATATGTATATATATATATATATATATATATATATACATACTCCTTAACAAGGTACGTTATTTGGGATCCGGGTAGGGCCTAGCTCCCGGAGCCCCGATCTCTGCACACGGCGGTACAGAACTTCCGATCTAGGGGACATGTTCTCCTGATTTCCTAGCCGTGAGGATCCATGTGCCCAGGAAGTACATACTTTGGCCCCAAAGCACCTATACAGGGATTTCTTTAAGGCCAAAGTGGGTACATGGACCCTTCGGGTATAATCATTGAGCAGACCCCCTAATAGTTTGTACTCCTATACAACCCTGCTGATGAACCCCTGTAGAACAAAACTTAGAATTCCTTCTATCAAACCCTAAACCCTGAACCCTCGACCCCGAAACCCCGAACCCCTAAACCCCAATAAACCTCGCACGGAAGTCTCGGCTAACCTCCGTGCGCAGGTGCGAAATCGGCGACAGCTTTGACCGAAGCGACTTCGGCAGCGCCTGAAATGCGTGTTGCGGGGTATGGAAAACCCCGTAAGGGATCCATAAGGGTTCCTTTAAAGAGTTCCTTCAGGGGATCTAAAAGAGCTCCCTGTAAAGGCTCCCTGAAGGGCTCTTTTAAGGATCCATTTATAAGGTTCGATTTCAAGTCTAGGGTTCCTTTCAGGGACCGAAACGGTTCTATACGGTGCTGAGGTTTATAGGGTTTATAGAGTGAACCCAGTTTTGCTTTGGCTTGTTTCCGGGGCTTCGTTTATGCATTGGGGATTCCGTCGAGGGATCACCTAAGGGTTCGAGTATTCATGGCTGTTTTCCCGTGAAAGGTGGCTTTAAGGGATCACGAGACTTCAAAAGGGGTTAAGGGAAGGGTTTTGTTCTTCTGTCTCATGTTTGGGGTTTGGCAAATTTGGAACCTTGTCTTAAGTGGTTGGGGTGTTCATTTGATGGCGATGAGAAATACAACAAAGGAAAGGCCATCGCCGGGTGTGTAGGGTTGACACGTACCAGGGCCGGTTTAGGGTTGAGGGTTTAGGCTTTAGGGGTTTAGGGTTTAGGGGTTTAGGGTTTAGGGTTTAGGGGTTTAGGGTTTAGAGTCTTGGGCTCTTTGTTTTCTTAACACCAAGCTGAACGGGGATTGAGGGGTGCAGCGGCTTGAGCTTAACATTCGCACATGCACGATCAAAGCCTATACAGCGATTTCGTGGACGCCGCGATGGTTTCAGAACCCCAAGCGATCTACTAAAAACTGAGCGAATCAGGGTTCAGGGCCGAGGATGTAAACGGTGCAGCTTGTAGGTCTGCAAGACTGCACTGTGAATGGGTCTAGTCTCATTGTATGAATGCACACCCACTCTGCGAGTGTTGGGGCCCTGAGGCTGATAACCCAAACCTCGCAATCCCAAACACCGGACCTTAACCCACATACCCCCGAAACCACACAGTCTTACACCTTCAGCCCGAGACCCTAAAGCTTAGACTCAAATTGTTTTGAACCTGGAATGCAGTAGCCCCAGACATGAAACAGCCTTTTTCAGCCTGAGGGTTTAGGGTTAGTCCCCAAAACAAGCCAAATTCCATACATTCTTCACCAGGCTCCGCGCCTTACAAAGGCCACGAGCGCAGTCTCGTGTTGGAAAAGGCGCTCTGAAGGCAACCTGTTGTGCATGGAGTTACAAATCCCTGAAGCCGCTAAAGCCCTCCCCCTGTAGCCCTCGCACAACGGTACTCTGAAACCTGAACCTTTGCCCTACACCCGATTACCAAAGCATCCCGGCCCTAACCCCTGAAGCCTACACCAATAAACCCTTTCCGAAAACACTAAGCCCACCAACAGTGTAACATACAACTTTTTCACCAAACCTCAAGCCCTTGGCCTTACCCTGTAACCCTAGGCCCTATCCTATACCGTCGAATATACCAGAAACACCTACTATTCAGAGCCATGAGGCCTCTATTAAAGGGCCCATGGGGGGGGTCCTGGATAACCTCGCCTGAAACCTTAACCCTAAATCACCCCAGGCCCTATACAGCAAACCCCATAAAGTTGGAAACCGGATGAAGGCCAAATAGTGCTGGGATTCCCTATACATGACTCTTAAGGATTGAAGCTATTGGGTTTCCAACTTTTGGGCTTCTACTGTAATCTTAGCCGAAGGTCCTCGGTGCCGGATGCCAGCTGCTGTATCGCCAAGGCCGCATGCAGCAGCGAGGTTTGGGCTAAGCGGCTGCTGGCACCTGCACCTGGGCTCACCTCGGCTTGGGGTACCCGGGTTTGGTGCCGCCAAGGGCTCCTAATCAGGGTTTCATGAAGGCTCTCCTCGGTTTTGAGGTGTAGGGCTTGGGGCATTTTGGGCGTGGGGATCGTTAGCATGACTGATCCCTAGTATGGGTACTCTAGACTCTAGTCCCCGGCAATACCCCATTTTGCTGAACCCCGCTTGGCTTCCCAGGAGCCAAGTACACCACAGAAGCCCGCTCGCTGGCAAATGAGGTTACTGCACCGATCAAGTCAAAGTCTATACGTATGACTGGGCCATTATGTCCTTGGTGAATGAAGGATTTAAGCCGCACGAGTCTGGGCAGCGTAGGGGCGGTGACGCGCTGAAATGGATGGTGGGGATATTCTGCCATCCCCGCCCCAGGCTGAGCCGGAGGGTCCAGCATAACCTGGGCTTTGACTAACCAAGGGAAAAAATCACCTAACCCTAAACCCTAAACTTGCCTTTCATAATAGTTCCTTTAAGGCACAGCCCCCTCCCCCCACAAAAGTAGCAAAGCATGGTGTGCATAGTGGTTCGCCTAAGGAACAAGCTGCCCCCCCACCCAACAAAAGAAAGTAGTAGAGTACCTATAGTCTCCATTGTAGTTCCTTTTTTGGGCTAACCAATATTATGGTTAGGATCCTATAATAGAGATTTTGGTTAAGCAAAAAGGGAACGACAGTGGAGACGATAGGTATGGTGCTCCAGTATCTAGTAACAGCCATGGGCTCCGCGTCCTCCAACGCGAGAACTGCAGCCATGTCTGCCAAGGAGAAGAGCGCTGGCGCAGCGGCCGAGGGCCTTTTGCTTAACAAGAACATCTCATGTATACATATTACATATATATATATATATACATATGTATTACAGTGTTACTAACATGCATGCCAGTACACACAATCTATAGCAGTCAGCATTGTAGTAATCACAATAAACATAACAGCAGTAGTCGCACTACGAAGAAATAACATATAATATGCACACCAATGTATCATAATTAGGAATACAAATCATAGCAAAGGAGATAGATAGCAATACACAATAACCGTAGAAGGAATGCAATAACAGTAGAAGGACTGCGAGGAAAAGAGGGCCTTGACAGCAGAAGGGTCGCCGTGCCGGTGCCAGTATCGACTCGAAGTCCACGTACCGCTGAGAACTCGGCCACGAGGGAGGCCCATTTTGGTCTCCTGGGTTCTCTTTATACTCACTGGCCCAAAACCCAAGGAAACAAAAGTTGAAACTTTCAGAATCGACTACCTTATAAAAATCCCAAAAGTTGAAAAGTTGAGTTTACAGCCACTAAGTATAGGGGAATTTAACCCCAGCTAGCATCATACCAGGGATCTATAATAGTATCGTAAATTCTCGGGAATTTCATCCCCAAGTTGAAGTACTAGGGATCCTTAAGCAAATAATATGGTTGGTCTCCTGGGTTCTTGTGAGGGAAGTTTACCCAAGCTACCATCATAATAGGGATCTTTATAATTTAGGAAGTTTAATCAAGTTGCCATACACGAGGGACCTATATATGCTAATTAGCAATTTATATATCTATGTTTGAGTAAAAAAAAGGATGCATGATTATGGTAACTTCAAGGACCTATAGCCTATAGCAGCTATAGCAAATAAGCATGGTCTCGTTTTTGCGGTAACTTGAATTAAACTCCTCAACAAGAGCCCAGTCTCGGCCGCTGGTCGGACACGAAGCCTGCGGCATCCTGGTGGAATGGGGCGTCGCTGAGCCTGGGCGGACGGGAAAGCGCAAACTTCAGCTCATTTTAGGCTTAGGGTTTAGGGTTGCAAATTTTGGGGTAGAGGGTCCAACCAAAAAAGTATAGCATAGCATACTTTTGGGTGCCCATACATCTACGAAGTAGCTACTATATTGGTACGTGGACCCTTTGGGTTATGCTTGTCTAGCGACTTTCGTAGGGCCGCAAGGCTGCAAGGACAAAAAAGATCCGAACATGTGACCCACTGTAGGGGCCTTAACAATCAGAATAGAATAGGGTTTCTTGTACCCTAAACAGTAGGATCCTTATTATAAGGACCCCAAACTAAGGTAATTACACCCAATTTCGGAGAATCTCACATGTGACCCAGGGGCAAGGACTCAACCTGCGACCACGTGTTGCGCGTGTCGCGGAGCAAAGCGCCCATCAGCTCATAGCGTGCAAAGGTCATGTTGACCTCTCCTCCACCAAGTAGTGCTGCTTCGTAGAGTGTGTACTCCGGCACAGCTTGAGGCAGAACCGACGAGTCCGACTCATGAGTGAAGGAGTGCAGCTTTTCGAGGAAGGCTGCATGCAGCCTGCCTGACAGTACTCTATAACCCTACGTGAACCCTAAAACTTCGTTGAATCGTCATTAAATCATTAAGCCCAAAAGTTGAATCCAATAATTGCCGTGAGTATCCAGGCCTGACAGGCATGCAGTGTCAGTATCCGGAGGCCCAAACGCTAAACTCCAATCGGCCCCAATGCCAAAGCCTAAAGATTCCAAACGGCCCAAAGTCGAGACTTTAGACCGGCATGTAGGTACTATTTGTATGCTTGGATTCTTACAGTAGAAGCCAGAAAGCTGGAATACCATTATCGTAACCCCATTAAGGTAAATTATAGGGGATCCTACCATTAATCCATATTCCAACTTTCTCGAGTTCCCTTTAGGGTATGCCTGCCTGAAAGTATGTCGATGAAAACAGCATCTGAGACCGGGAGCACCGGCGGCGACCAAAGCGGGTTCACCTTCCGGCACGCAAGACCCCTCTATGATATGTGTGTGTATATACATATATATGTATATATATATATATATGGTAACTGTGTGTATATATCTATATATCGATGTATCTACATATCAATATCTGTATCTATATCTAACTATATATATATACACACATACATATATCTACTTATATATATATATATATATATATCCATCTCTCTGCCTGTCTGTGCACATCGGATAAGCATATGCAGCTAGATATGGATATAGAAACTCAGAGCCTGGAAACCCTGCAGTCCGCCCCTAATTGCTTTTGAAACCCTTCTCTTCTCTCCCAAGGCACCCGGGCAGCCGCAAAGTAGCGTTTCAGCTGAGCCATGACTTTCGGCCCGTCTTCTGCGACGCCGAAGCGCGCAGTGACCTCCCAGAGAGGCAAACAAAAACCGCAGGATAACGATAGGCCGATAGAAAAGTAACAACTAACAGACAGACAGACAGACAAACAGACAGGGAGGGAGGGAGGGAGGGAGGCAGGCAGGCAGGCAGGCAGGCAAACAGGCAAACGGATGCAGACAAACAGGCAAACTAACAAGCAGATAAGAGATGAGACTAAGGTGTATGGGTCTGTGGAAGGTTTTGCTGACCTTCAACTCCAAACCCCAAACCCCAAAAACCGAAACCTTTACACTCTGAGCCCCTTAAACCCCTAAGCCTTAGCCCCTGTACCTTCCGCAGCAGCAGGTACCCGCTGCGCTGGACAGCCAGCCGGGCACCGGGCAGAAGCTGATGCTCGGCCTCAAAAACACGGTTAAAGGTTCGGGGTTTAGGGTTCAGGGTTGAGTTTTGTTCTGTTGAGACACGTTGAGGATAATTTGGCATCCAAAATCACAGGGTTGAGGGCTTAGGAATAAATATTCAAGATCTTCATACCAAAACGGGAACACATAGAAACTGTTGAAAATTCGACCAGTGCCTCCCTAGCTGCCATGTTGGCTGCGTAGTCCACGAGCTCCAGAACCGCGCGTTTCAGGCTGTACCTGCGGCAACCACAGCCTACTGTAGGGACCTTGATAATTAGAAAGTGTTTTGGGGGGGTTGCTTATTGCATCTATAGTATAACATAACCCCAAACCCTGCTCTAATTATTAAGGCCCCTGCATTACACAATAGAGGAGTGTAGGGCCTTAGCATTAGGCCTTTATTGCACTCGGGGTTTAGAGGTTCAGGGGCCTGTGGATTGTTCTAATGCTTTGGGGTTTTGGGTTTGGGTGTTCTGTCAGGGTTAAGGGTTGAACCTTGCAGTAGCTTAGGCCACACGCCTCAAAAAGAGTGGGGTTTTGGGTGCAGGGTTAATTGCAGTCACCGCTGCTGCATGGCCAGGCGCTTTGCAGCTTCCGGGGCAGACCAAATATCCTGCAAGGCTTGGGGGAACCTTATGACTCAGGGCTCACATTGGCTTACAAGCCCACAAAATTGCAGGTCATGACACCATGATTCTGGGGCCTTATAACCTCTAACTCCCCAAAACAGACGGATTTGGGATCCCCAGCCAGGTAGGGCCCTTCGCGCTTAGGCCTGAGAGGTTTGGGGCGTCGGGCTTTTGTCACTTGTAGATGTGGGTAGTGGTCAAAATTCTGGTCCCTAATTGGGTACCCTAAATACAAGGTGCCGTAGTATATTAGGGACCCAAAAAGGGACCCTAATTTTGACAACCACCCATGTAGGTAAAGCCCCTCAGCCCTCAGGAGTCCCCATGAAAACTCGAAACCCTAAACCCCTTATAGAACCGTTTAAATAAAGGAACCCTGAGCCCGAAACCCAAGACCCCTTCTAGAACCATTTAAAGGAACCCTAGATCCTAAACCTCTTGTAGAACCTTTATCGGAACCCTCAACCCCGTTAAGGGTAGGAGATCAAAACCCCAAACCCCTTGTAGAACCTCTTTAAGGAAGCTTCCTATACCCCTTAGGACCATAACAACAATAGTATTTTGAATATTTTCTTGGGTTATATATTTGTATATATGAACAAACACATGAAAAATCCTAACGAGACTATAGCTTCGGGGACGAAGATCCTCGAAGATGTAGATGTCCAGCCAGCCGTCGCCTCCACAGTTGTCGCCCAGCAGCTCTAGAGCTCTCCAAAGCCACAAAGCAGCGCTTAGGAAGCACATGGCGACCTGCAGACCATGCTTCTTTAGGGCTTCAGGCTTTCGGATTTTTGGGGCTTCAATGTTTAGGGCTTCAGGGTTTAGGACTTTGGGGCTTTAGGATTTTACGGTTTAAGGCTTTAGGGCTTTAAGGCCTTCTCGGCTATAGAAACCTGTAGGGTTTAGGGTGTAAAGTGCCTGCGAGCAAGGGCTTATCTTGTGCGGTTCTAGGGCAGGATTTCTGAATGTGATTCCTACCTGTAACCCCGAAGTATAGGGTGAAAGGTACCCTTATAGCCCCTATACCTTTAGTACCCTCTAAAGGAAGCCGTCAAAGGATCTCTTAAAAGATCCCTTAGAGGGTCTCCTCAAGGAGCCCCCTATAGGATTTCTTGAGGGGGCCCTTAAAGGAAGCCCTTACTTAAAGGATCATGGGACTTAGTAGCTTGGGCTATAATTAAGATAACTATACATATAACCCCAATTAGGGTACTTATAACCTTACTTACTAAGTCCCATGATCCTCCAAGTAAAGGAAGCCCGTACAGTGACCCCGGCGACCTGCAGCGGGAGGTCGCAGGCGGGGGTCAGGTCGATGTAGGAGAGACCCAGCCTCACCGGGTCCCAGTTCTCCTCGATGTCTACATCATCGGGCTTTAGGCATTTTGAGGGTGTATACGGTTTAGGGTTTAGGGTTTAGGGTTTAGGGAGTTCTCCTCGATCTCTTCGTCATAGGGATAGGGCTTAGGACTGAGGGAGAGCAATTACGAGTGTAGGGTTTAAGGCTTAGGCATTTTAAGGGTATCTAGGATCTAGGGATGTTGAGGGTGTGGGGTCAAGGGATGTTAGGGATACCGGGTTTAGGGTTCAGGGACATTAACGGTTGTGGGTTTAGCGTATAGTCGCGTCCCAGTTCTCCTCGATTTCTTCGTCGCCCCACATGCGCAAGGCACGCTCTTCGTAGCGGTTCACCGGCTTCCTGGAACGACCATATCCAAAGGGTCCAAGTAGTATAGTATATATTTTGGGGGGCCCAAAAATCTAAGTAGCTACTACACGTAGTATAATATATACTTTTGGGTCCCAGATATCTAGCGAGTAGCTACTATTTTGTTACTTGGACCCTTTGGGATATCCAGTACCTTCTGGTGGGCTATGTTGCTGTAGACTCTACTGTGCACATACACCCTAAACCCTAAACCCTAAACCCCTAAACCCCTAAACCCTAAACCCTAAACCCTAAACCCTTACTAAATGGGGACTGGGGACCATGCAGAAAGAACCTAGAGGTTACTCGCAGAAGCTCTGATGTGGAAGTTCTAGGGATCTCCCCCATTACAAAAAGAGTCATAAGCTAAGGTTCATGTTATCCCCGCCATTAAAAAATGTGGAAAAAGTGTAGGTCAAGGTAAGTCAAGGTTCATGTTGTACCCCGGGATGCTCATCGATTGAAACCTCGGATCCCTGGGCGGCTGCACATCCGAAGGCTCGCGACCCTGCGGCAGCGTGGTTCCACCCAGACCCACCACCGGCGGATGCCTGGGTTGGCCCGTAGAACCCCACCCAGCAGGGATATGGATATAGAAGTTAAACGGTCGACCAAACTAGTAACAGCCCTAAGACCCTGATGCCCTGAACATGCTCACAACAGGTCTTGGGATACATTAACGTCAGATTGTCGCGAAATGAATTCCTGTGGACATTTATCGCCCATTGCTCAAACATTTACTTTACCGAGTTGCTCCATCATCGCTGCAAAGATGTCCGGAAGGAGCCCGGCTTTGGCAAGTTCCGCCATCAGGTGCCCGGCAGCTGTGTGCAGCTCAGGAAACGCCAGGCCTTTCCAAACGGCCTCGATGCACGCGCGCAAAAAAATCCTGCTGTAAAGGGTTGGAACTTACTTTATGGAGTCTATGATATACGAGCTCGAACAGAATACAGTAGAATAGACTAGGGTTCTTTTAAAGGGGTCTGTAAGGGATGTATAAGGGTACTATATGGTACTATATAAGGGCCTTAATAGTTAGAATAGGGTGTCGGGGCCATCACACTATACTTACACATGGGGCTCAGCAGGACTTCTGGGTTGCTAAGACGGGATCCAGGGTCCAGGCTTCATTATTCCGGTCGAGCGACACGTTGAATACAAGGCCCATGCCAACCTACACCCCCGAATCCCTGTAAGCCCTAAACCCTTAACCCTCAACCTTACAGAACATCACGCCCTGGTGGCGTGTTTTTTCGTGTGTTCGTGTTTTCACTTGCACTCTCAGATGGCAAGCTCAGCAAGCTCTTCGCTTCCCGCAACATTGTTTTAGCAGCATACAACATTTTACGACGTGTTGTGAATTGACAACAAATTCCACCAAACCATTTGAAAATGTTCGGGCATAACCGAACACCGGTCCGAGAGAGATAAAGTTATGGGACAAAGTGTGGCTCTAGGCCTCTAGGCCTTGGAGTATGGAGGCCTGGAGGCCTGGAGCCCTGGAGCCCTGGAGGCCTGGAGGCCTGGGGGGGGGTGGCGCCAAAAAAAAAAAAAACCAATCCAGTGTTGCTCAATCATTTCAAGGTTTCCAGTATGCCACCAATCCTGTCCTGTCCAATGAAACATCCCTCTGTCAAGACTTTACGCTTGCTATTGTTGTCCACCACCTAGGAAAGCGGCTCCAACACCTGAAAACTGTGACAGAGGTATGATGGGTAATTCATTCTACACACTAAAAGTATGATGGGAATAAGATCCTTGTACCGGGACCCAAGTTCAGAAGGAGTTATTGGGCCTCGAACCCAAATGCATATGATGGTCCTAACCGTCTCAAAAGATGCTGGGTGGCGAACCCAAAACCTTAGACTGTAGAAGATATTGCACCCTCGCCCAGAAACTTAGACAATGCAGTAAAAATTGCAAGCTACAAAATCCTTGTTACATTTGAGGCGGAACACATATAGTTACCTGGAAGCCAACCTTGGTATATAGGTGTTTGTACCTACATATTATATGTATGTATCTATATACACGTCTGTGTATGCATGTTGGTATCTGACATGCAGGCATGCACACCTGCATATGGATGTGTATGCTTACATACACACATGCTCATGCTGTTTCCATGTTCATGCTTTTCCCATCCTTATGCACACATACATATATGCTTAATACATATGTACATACACGGGTATATACGTACATACAAAAGTATCACGGAAACATGTGCAATATTTCTGAAATAAGCGAGCATATGTGTATGCAACAATGAGGCATTTAGGCACCCATGCACTGAAAGGAAAATGGAGGGCCTCAGGCTCCTATCCCAAACCCCGAAAGGGCATGGTGGGTACAGGATGCGGAATTTCAAATCTGTGTGGAAGCACGTCCTCCATACCTGTACATATATACATCTACATATGCGTGTATATATATATATATGTGTGTGTGTACATATATATATGTACATATAGATATGCACGTATACAAGTTCATGCACTCTCGAAGCCTATGCAACCATATACAAGTTCGTGAACTTTGGAAGCCCATGCACGCGCACACACATGTATATGCATAAGTCTATCTCTATATAAATATGCACATATAGATAGGATTTTTTTGCGACATACATGCAAGTACCTGGGTATGTAACCGCAAGGCCACGCTGCAGTTGCACACACGATGTAAATTGGAACCTTGCAAGCATATTATGGGTGGATGACACATGTGTACATGCATACACACACATATAACTTTGTGTGCATCACGAAAATGAGTAATCACATTGTCTTTGGGATTTACAAGGAAGTGGGTGGATGATGGCGAACAACAGGTCTTCAATAGAATAACTGATTAACATGCCCTATTACACCGTAAGCTAATCCTTAAAAGGTGTGGCCCACCCAACCAGAAATGCAAATCACAGTAGGGGATGCTGGGAGACCACCAGAATGAATAAAAACCAGAGTCTGAACACTTTACTACATATCACGGGCTACACTTATCCACGAAAGATATATAGTGTGTAGCGAACCTGAGTACCGAAAAGGATGACGTGTGTCCAGAGCATCCAAACTCTACTGGAAGACATTCGGCTGAAACGGAGTGCCGCACATGGATGTAATGAGCCAAACCCCCGTAGAAGTTCGATGAGTGGCGGAACCACAACTGGATCCTCAAATCGATGACTGTTTTCCCAAATACAGGCAGACTAGAAGATATTGCACTCTCAATCCAAGGGGCTTCAATAGTAGATGACGGGGTAGCAAACCTTCAAAGGTGGCAAACCCCTCAGAGCTTTATAAGTGTAGGAGTGTAGACATTTCTTTCGCCACGGCTTCAGATGCGGTTGTACACATCGATGACGGTTTGCCTGTCAATATAGTCGCTTTTATGCTGCAGCCCACGCCACAATTTCAATCCCTAGTTGAAGACATGATATATACAATAAGTTACAGGTCAGCAGTCGTATGCACATGTAAATATACACATTTCCATAAACACGCATCCATTAAAGCCAGATGCATATGTGGATAGACACCCAGGGGTTGTGATGGATTCTTAATGATTTTGACATGATATGCCAGATCATACACCTCAACTTCAATGGAGATGCTGGATGGCAAACCTCCTCCCTCTTCCCCAACAAACTCCTACTTCGTGACATGCCCAAGACTAAAAATCAAGGGTGCAATGCCTGGATGAGGCAACACAACGCTTAATATTCTGGGTGCAAAAAACTCGTGTGAAAACCTCTAAATTACCGAGAAATACACGCCACCAGGGCGTTGCACTCTCCAACCTTAAACCCCTGAACCCTAAACCCTCATCCCTGTAAACCCTAAACCGCTGAACCCTAAACGACTAAACTCTAAACTTTAAGCCCTAAACCCCTGAACCCTAAACCACTACAACTCTAATAAACTCTAAACCCCAAACCTCCTTTCCTTGTCACGCCGGTGGGGCTCCGGGTCTGTCAAGCATCCTCAAGCCCGAAGGAACTCTGGGTTCTCCTTACGGTTTAGGGTTTAGGGTTTAGGAATTTCATTGAAGTCACCATAACAAGGAAACCATATTCTTCAATATAGCTCCCTATTATGGGTGGTTGTCAAAATTATGGTCCCTTTTTGGGTACCCTAAATACCCCTAAATATTAGGTGCCGTACTATATTAGGGGCCCAAAAAGGGACCATAATTTTGACAACCACCCCTAATTATAGCAGGGTTACTTAAGCTACATTCCTGAACGAGAACGCAGAATTTGAAGGCCCCGGCCCTGGCAGCTCCTTAGAAAAGTACTCAGGCCTCTTAAAGGGATGGGGTTTAGTGTTTAGGGCGTCGGGAACTAGCACATAATCGCTTATGATCTCCAAGCAGTTCTAGACCCACAGAAATGTGTTCTAATTGTGAAGGCCTGTTCAGCCCAAAAACCCGTAAGAAACCCTTAGACTGTAGCCCATAGCCCTTATAGAACCAGCAAGTGTTCAAACCCTTGTACTATCCTCGCTCGGGTCTTACGAGGCCTCCTCGACGTCCGACACGGCGCTGCGCCAGCCGCCGAAGGCAACGTCGGGACCCCAGTTGTCCACATCCTGGGGTATAGGCTTTTTTTGTTTAAGTACCTTTTTCCGTCTGCACAGACTGGTCTGGGGTATAGGCTTTGGGGTTCAGGGTTCAGGCTTTAGGCTTTGCCGTTCATGAGGTTTAGGATGGTAAAATGCGTTCGATGGCGTGCAACACATCAGCCTCATCGAGGTATCGGGAAGCGACAACAGCTGCTAAGCATATTGGGGTTATTCTGTTTGTTACGGAAGCAACCTATGTGTCTTTATATGGGTGAAAGGTGATCCTGCCTCTACTACTGCTGGGTCACTAGTTAATTACTGATGGTACGACTGCCATTGCTAGTATGAAATCGTTGCTACAGATCAAAGAACTCCATGTACATGTACATGCATACATACATACATACATACGTACATGCATACCTACAACATACATCCATACATACATACATACATACATACTTGCATATGTACATAGAATTAAGAGCACACATAGGAATATGTTTATGTGCACGCACTGCATTACTCTTCTTTCATGTTGGCTTGACTGCCGTAGTGTAAACTTTTGAATATACCTACTATCTCGTGTACTCCCCATAGAATCTTCGTGCCTCCAAAGCCCTATTCTAATTTTCAAAGGCCCTCCTAGATTAAACAGAAAGCCCTGTGTACACCTGCATAAATCTCTTATATGGACAACCTCTTACAGGTAAGAACACCAGGAGCCATGTTCATTGTTCTTCCTCACGGGCCTGCATGGCACTAGTTGACATGGAGGCCGGGCGCGCGAGGACCTGGCTTGGTTGGGCTCGTCCGAGGTTTTGGGTTCATGGCTTTAGGGTGTGTTTTTCAATTTTCGGGGTTACAGGTTCAGGGGTTTGGGTTGGTCTCGGCGTTTAGGCTCAACCCTACTGCTTTGAAGCGCCTAAAGCCCAAACCTCGAACCCTAAACCCAAAGCCTAAACCCCCTACCCCAAGAGATTTAAAGAGATCCGTCCTGTCTCCAGAACACATCAAAATCCTCTAACAAGTGATTCGCTTCTGAATTGTCCCCAGACGGCCTGTAACCCTAAACCCTAAAACCCTAAAACCCTAAACCCTAAAATCCTAAAACCCTAAAACCCTATACCCTAAAACCTAAAATCCTAAAACCCTAAAACCCAAAAGCCCTAAAGACCCTAAAACCCCAAACCCTAAACCGCCACGCCATTTACCCCTGGCCTGCTGCAGGCTCAGAAGGCCCCTCAGGGCTCGAAGGACCGATCGGTCTGGCTCCTGGGTTCTTGTTAAAGGACTTCAAGTTAAGTTACGATAATAAGGAAACCCTTTAACAAGGGTCCAGAAGGGACTCCAGTTTAAGTTATCATAATAAGGAAACCCTATAGTAGGGATCTATAAGGGTTCCTTTAGGGGTTTAGGGGTTTGAGGTTTAAGTTACCACAACAAGGAAACAATATTATTCACCATCAATCCCGATAATGGTCACTTACATTAAATGACCCTCAGAACCATAATAAAAAAACGAATTTTTAATCTTCTCTTGGGCTTTATATGAACAAAAATGAAAGAAATCCTAAGGCGACTAGAGTAAATCAGATCCCTTAACCCTAAGCCCATTAGGCTGGGGTCTTCGAGGTTTCGAATGTTGGAGTTCCTTGAACTTACCACAGATCCCTATTATGGTCATCTAAATTACAATGTTTAATATTCTCTTGGGCTTCATATGAACAAAAATACAAAATTGAATAAAGAGACTCTGGGAACTTGAATCCCTTAAACAAGAACCCTGAACTCTTTAGCCCTAAACCCTAAACCCTCCCTAAACCGAGCAAGTTCAGTCCCTTAACAAGAGCCCAGGCTCCGCGCGGCGTTCCAGGAGCTCGCCTCCCCGACCGATGTGGAACTCCAGGAACCTAGTTACGGAGCGGGGGGCTGTGGGTTCAGGGGCTTCTTTAAAGGGGTTCATAAGGGTTACTATAAGGGATCTATATAATAAGGGCAGGGGCTGTGGATAAGGTTTGGGGGTTTAGGGCTTTTTTTGGTTGAGGGCCTTTTTGAGTCTGCATGGGTTTAGGGGTTTAGGGTTTTAAGGTTTAGGATAGCCTTAGGCTCCATAGTAGTTCCTTGTGGGGGTTCATAGTTAGAATCCTATAGTAGCTCCTTTTTTGGGATTACCTTAGTTTATAGGATTCTAAACATGAACCCCCGAAAGGAACTGCTATGGAGCCTATAGGTAACCGTAAACCTCTAGAGCGTGGTTTAGGCTTGGGGTTTTGGGGGGTGCCGTTTAGGTGGGCTTTCAGGGACTGGCCTGAAGCTTAAGGTGTTGGGGAGGTTCGGCTTCGGTGGTAGATTAGGTGCTTTCTTCGCATGCCCATCAAGATCATCACCGCTCCATCACCGCTCCATTCTTGCGACGGCTGATGTCGCGGTTTAGGGTTTAGGGCAGTTTAGGGTTTCAGAGTTGCCAGTTTCAGAAAATAGAAGGCCCCAGTATAGTCCCAATACAATCAGATCGTGATTATCAAGACCCAACAATGTGGTGCCCTCGGTTCTCCGAAACTTCCATGTGCTTTGCAACTATCGTCTACGAAATCTTGTTCCAGGGGAACTGCACTTGGTATTTTGGTGCTTGGGGCTTCAAAGATCGTGCTGGCTCTCTGGTCTACATGGAGCAGAAAGGATTTAGTGGACAAGTATCCAGCTGCGAGATGTTGTGGTTTTCTATGTAAGAGGAGGCAGAATATGAAGCACTCATCGGTGACCTGCACGCAATATGCTGGGCTCAGGCTTTCAGTCACACGCGCGAAGGCACAACTGAAAATGACCTTGACGACGCCCTCGATGACATTCACGATTTCCAAAGATTTTACAATGCACATGCCAGCACTGCAGCCATTGTAAGTGCCCACTGCAAGCCAAGCCCTTGTGACACCTATATAAACATTGAACCCAACGTTCTGAATCCTAAACTCTAAGCCCTACACCCTAAACTCCTACGCCCCAAACATCCCTAACCGTTTAACCCTCCCTACACCCTATATAGGCCCTAAGTCCTAAAGCCTAAGCCTTGATCCCGAAGTCCGGTATTGATGCCCAAGAGCATGGCCATGCCCTGCCTCAGCTGGCACTTGCTCTCATCTAGTTCATGGCCGGGATAGTATCAAAGACTTGAATTTATATTCCTTACTGCGTTCAGGTACGTACCCCATGAAAATGTAAAAGGTTACCCAACTGTGACAAAGTCATGATCACTGCATCCCTTAACCCCAAGTAACCTACCTTTTTAAGGACTTATATAAAGAAATCATATTAGGGAACCCTAAAAAGGCAGGTTCCTTAGGGTCCAGGTCTACTGCCCCTTTCGAGTGGCCCGAACCCAGGGCCCCCCCAACCCCGATCTCCAATCAAAGGGGAAAAGGAGGGACCCTTCATGGGGACCCCTACCCTATAATGGGCTATAGAATGGGTATATCATGGCTATACTAGGGGTATATACCTAGGGGTCCTTATTAAGGGTCCCTCCTTTTACCCTTGGATCCAGATAAACTGGGGTTGGAGACTTTGGGGGTAAACACTAAACCCACATAACTTGGAACTTAGGACTGTATGGTTTAGGTGAAATCCAAAGAGCCCTGCAATTCGCCAAGCCGTGTCCGCCCTCAGGCGAAAACACAAACTTCAAAACTCCGAAAACCAATCTCTGCAGGGCACAGCAGTGCACAGCCCCAAGTGCACTGCGCGTGCAACTAAACAAACTGACACAGAGTTCTTCGCAAGCGAAAACGCTCATATTCTCCTGAATGCTAGAACCCTGAACAATCTCTCGGACCAGAAAGTGTGAACCCTCAAGCACCGAAGAGTAAGACCAGACCGTGAGCGATAGCAAGAAGATGGATGCATCCTGATGTTGACTTCATCAAGTTTTAGCCTGCGCACAGGTGGACATACCTTATCGCTCTACCCCCTCAAAAAGTGTACAACACTACACACTTTTCTCCATATACGTACAAATGCAATGTGTGTGTAGTATATGTACCTCCATATATATATATATATATATATATATATGTATATATATGTGTGTGTATGTACACATATATGCATATACATAAACATGTGTATAGATATGTATATATATATATATATGTGTGTATGTACACATATATGCATATACATAAACATGTGTATAGATATGTATATATATATATATATATGTATATCACATATATATATATATATATATATACATACATACACACCAAACCATAGCCACCCCAAGCCGTAACACCTAGAGACTCAAGTAACAACCTCAGCCCTAAACCTAAAGGGCCCTAAACTTTTCTTGGTTGGCCTTTAAACACTCTGCGTCCCTGATGAACCCAAATAAGGAAAATAAAAATTGTCTCAAAATTCAACCTAGATTTGGGTTTGCTGTGAAGTCCAAAGTGCAGGCCGCATGGGTCGCAGGGATAGGCTTCCTCCACGAGGGGCCCAAACTGGTACTCCTCCCAGAGCCTTCGGCGGCTTAGGGTTTACCTATGGTCTCCATTGTAGTTCCTTTTTCGGGTTTAACCAATTCTATATTAAGGATCCTAAAAGGTAGCCCCAAAAAGGAACTACAATGGAGACTATAGGTAGGGTTATTCGTGCAGTATCCTGGGGAACTGATGCTTAACCTTTGGGGAGGGGGAAACGATTCTGTAAATGTACATCAAAAAGGTTAAAGGTTACCTACTCTACTACCAGGGGTGTTCGTTCTCTGTTTGCGCGCACAGGGTGCTAAACAGGGCTCATATTAGATCGTGTATAATATACACTATCATAAAGTCATATTATGACCTTATGAATTTTGTCTTTGAGCGCTTATCGGATTCGAGTCTCTGCGGTGTAGTGCTTCAGATCTTGATTTTTGTCCCCTTCTCTTCTCGCAGCTCGGCAGCTTCGGAGACTGTGAGGCTAAATCCTTAAACCCTGAAGACTCGTTGATTGGCTTGCCTTTGGTTAGTAGGGAATGGAAGAATGGTAGTAATAGTAGTTATAATTGTACCCGATTCCTCCATTCCCTACTAACCAAAGGTAAGCTTGGGCCTGCTCCCGGGTTCAGTTTGGAAAACTTGGGAAAACTGAGGAACTCTCGGAAGCCACGCCCAGGACTTGACAGCTAAACCCTTAACCCGAAACCCCAACCAACGCCTCTCCAGCGACCGGCGTTTCAGGTCGGCGGACTCCTAGGCGAGGATTTCGAGGCCGAAGGTGGTTTAGGGTTTGAAGGGGTTTAGGGTTTAGGGGTTGAGGGTTTGGGGGGTTCAGGGTTTAGGGGTTTAGGGTTTTGGGGGGTTCAGGGTTTTGCCTTAGGGTTTTAGGGGTTTACGTATTTATCACAGGGGTAGGGGTCATGTTTGAGTGCTGAATTTAGGGTGTAGACAACCTATGCAGCAAGCTTCACCCCTCTTACTGGCTGAGATTTATGACTTGAAGGTTGAAACCGTAGGATTTCGCTGCTGGGGCTTGAGGATTGAACCAGTCTGGAGTCTGCAGTTTAGGGACGTTGTTGGAAAGAAGTGTGGAGTATGTTCTAGTATCGCTTTAATATGCACCCTTCGGCAAAGGTAATTGTTTCAGGCTTCTGTATTGCCCCTAACGGCTGTTTTAGGTGTGAGGCTGAAGCTTTAGGGCCGGGTTTGCTGCGCCCCCTGATGACCACAGTGGCGGATGGTGTGGTGATGGTGAAAACAGTTTGGGTACACAATTTTTTGTCGGTGCTGAAGATCTTGGCTGCAGTGGCATGCCACATGGCACCTATTCAAGATGTTCAGAGTTCTCGCCAGCATGTTGTACATGCGTATGCAGGGAAGCAGGGAAGTGGTAACATCAGTGCAACTGGAGTCAAGCGAACCAACAACCACGACGAGGACCCCTTTGCACCAACAAAAAGAAACACACACGACAAATTCAACTGCGACACTGAAAAGCGACAAAACATGCCTACACCCCAAACCTTTACACCCCTAAACCCTAAAACCCCTAAACTTCCTACACTTCCTAAACCCCTAAACCTCATAAGCCCTAGACCACAGCATCTCCTGGCAGTGCAGAGGCATCGCTGCGGACTTGACAGCTGCGGCTGCGGCGTGCGCGGCCCGGAGCTCCTAACAAACCCTTTTTCTTTACGCTATCATTATCGTGTCCTTAAGTTAAAGTCACCCTTAGAAGGGGCCCCCACCCTGTCCTCTACAGTAGAAGCCAGAAAGTGTTCCAACTTTCTGGAGTTCCCTTTACGTGTGCAAGGTTTAGTGTTGAGGTTTGGGGTTTGCAGGACAGGGCCCTCGCTCGAGGCTGCTTTCAAGGGTTCCTACTTGAAGGGCTCCTGTCCAGGTCGGTTTCGGGGTCTAGAGACCTCTGCATTGCAGTGGCCTGGCATCCTAAACCCTGACCGAGAATTTATGAGCTTCGAAGACTTCCAAGATGATTCGCCTGTAAAGCCCCGATGGCTTGTCAGTTGCTTTCTGGCATGGCGAGTATCTTCTGCCGCTTGCTGCCTGAATCTCCCCTGTGGCAGGGCCCTCACCGAACTGCGGCTGCTGGAGCCCACTCACACTCAACGGACCCTTCACCTTGAAAAGCCCTATAAACCCTAAACTAAACCTTGTGCTGGACTGCATGCCCAAGCCCGGACCCCTCGACCTCGAATCCCAAACCCCCCAAGAACTGAACCCCCGCAAATCCAATAGAACGCTTATAAAGCCCCTGAGGAACTGCAGCAAAACCTACAAGAGCCCATACAAGCCTTCTAGGAAACTCCAAATAAGCTCCTGCACAACATCCACCCGGCCGTGACCGTCGCCATCTGCAGATGCCAGATGCTCTAGAGCCTGTGAAACGAGCTGGCTGACGGGTTCAGGGTTCAGGGTTTCTTCATGATTAGACTAGATTTCCTTTTTGAGGGTTCTTTGAAGAGTTACTATAGGGTTTAGTATAGGTGCCTTAATAAATTGAAGAGGGTTTTAGGTTACATGATCGTGGAAACTTACAATCAGGAAACCGAAGGAATAGTCTCACTAATGACCCCGGCTTCTATAATGAGGCTTAGGCTTTGGGTTTAGAGCTTGGCTTTGGATTCTCTTCGATTCGCAGTACCAAGGCGCCTACACTAAACTTTTACAGCAACCCCTTTAAAGAACCCTTAAGAACCAGGACCCTCCTTGTACCGTCAAACAGGGGTATATGGTCCCAAATAAGAGGCATTCAGGGTCCAATAGAGGGTAGATGGAGGGTCTAAGAAGGAACCCTAGTCAAAGCATTAAGGCTTTGCCGCAATTGCACCATGTGTTACTCGCACCCGTGCCTCCAGATTCAGCTCCAACAGAGAGGTCCGAGCCTCCGAGCACGAAAAGTGGCTTACACGTGGCTTTAGGTTTTAAGGGTTTTTGGCCTTAGGTTGTTTAGGGTGGTTCGGGCGTGAGGGGTTTAGGGTGGTTCGGGCCTTTAAGGCGTTTTACTGGGCCCTGGTTAAGAACTTTAATTAAGTTAAACTTCCATAACGGGGAAACCGTAACAGTGTCTATAAATTCCGATTGTGGCAACTTCAGTTATTTCCGCAACCAGAACCCCGTTTGGGGTATGGGGGGTCGACAGGGTCTTGGCTGAGTCCGTCTTGAACCTGCTCCCGGGTTGACGGAGTCTCTTGGGGGGTTAGTACGGCTGATGGACAAAATCCTGCATTACCCATTATAAGGAAGATACCATAACTCCCATAGTTTAGAGTCCTTAGGGTCATGCAGGAGTTTGTCCATCAGCAGTTTAGGAGGAGACTGGGGTTAGAGGGCCTCAGAGGGCTTTCGGTGTTTAAGGTTCAGGGCTTAGGGCTTTTCTTTTAGCAAAAGAAAACCTCGAACCCCTGAAATGCTAATCTGATCAACTCACAACCCCCTTAAGGAGAAGGCTGATATGTAAAACCCTAAATCCTTAAGAACCCTTACAGAGCCCTGAAAGGATCTCCTAATTACTTAAAGAAACCATTGAAAGAACCTTTGAAGAAACCCTTAAAGCTTTAAGGGAACCCATAACAACAAGAAACCGAACAAATTCTTAAGGGAACCCTTCCTGAACGTTGAAAACTGAAAACCACAAACCCTGAAAGGATCCCTTAAGGGTGCGAAAGGGTTCTATAATAGGGTTGCCGTTAAGGGTACTATCGGCTCTGTGATAGGGTTCCTCTATATTGAACTTAGACCCCTAGCAACAACCATAATTTTAGCTCTTAGGGGTTATAGTAACCAAAGTCTTTTAAACAAATGTATCTAAGTACCCCCTTATGTCTCAAAGTAAAGGGACCCTGAAAGGATCCCTTAAAGGCACCCAAGTCCCTCGCCTCCCGGTCAGCCACGATGGCGCAAGACTCCGGGAGGGAACCGTAGCCCGCAAACAAGGCTCGGAGGTTCCGGGAGGCCTCGTGTTCCAGAACCCTCAAATAGGGTTTAGGGTTTAGGGGTTTAGGGTGTGCCCTCAAATAGGGGTATCCAAATGGGGGTTTCATGACAATACCCCCCTTAGAACCATAATAAACCTACCAGGACCCTCCTTGTACCCTCAAATAGGGGTAGCTGGTCCCAAGTAAGGGGCATTTAGGGTCTCATAGACGGTGGACGGGGGGTCTAGGTTCGCTTTTATGAGAATACAGGTTTCTGTCGAGTTTGGGGTTTAGGTTTAGAGTTGAAGGTTTATATAACATGATTTGAAGTGGTCTCTTGAGAGAGTTCAGAGTCTAGGGTTTAGGATGGATGGATGGATGCAGGCCGGTGAGCAGAGCGGGCCGGGCAAATGAGGCAGGGAAGCCTCCTGTCCCAAGTCCCACAGCACACGCGGCACAGACAGGGAGAGTAGGCCGGGCGTTTAGGGGTCAGGGTGTATCGACAGTACAGGGATTGTAGGGTTTCGTGTTGACTTAAGGGCTTAGGGTTAAGGGTTTGAGATTTAGACTTAGATTAGTTAGATCCTTTCATGCAGCTTGAAGCTACCAGTGCTGAGGTCTAGGCCTTAAAGGAGTTGGTTACGATTCAGGGTTCAGGGGCTTTTGGGTTGCTACAGATCCAGCTTTGAGGCTTCCGGGTTCAGGGCTTTGCGCATTCAGCGGTTCCGGGTAGATGGTTCAGGGTTTAGGGTTTAAAGAGACAATCATGATCCGTACTCTGCGGGCCACGAACTAAACAAGAAAGTTAAGAAAGCCAACTTTTCTGAAAGCCTCTGCAAGAAGCCCGCCTTCAGCTGCAGATCCACCCATGCCGCAGTGTTGCCGCTCTCAGGCACTGCCCCGGCCATCGGCGGATCGCGGCCGCCTCTTCTGCTGGTTGCTTAAAAATCAACGGTTGGGTGTAACTTCTTTCGGTTTGGGGCATTGTAAGGCTTCGGGGATTTTGCAGTCGAGGGTTCAGGGCTTCAGGGTGCAGAGTTCTTGTGTCCATGATAGGGTGCAGGGTTATGGGGTGCAGGGTTCGGGGCTTAGGGCTTATGGATTAGACTCCGTGTCCGCCACCTGAGGTTTATGATGCCTGTACAGAAGAAAGTGTCTCAACCAGGAGGCAACAAAGGAGGTAGCACTTCTAGTACATATGCTAGACACAAAATCACAGAAGACCTACTCTCGCGGCCGGTGTATCGAACGGGATGGCACGCGTGTGTTGATGTTCGACGAGTAGTTGCGGATCTGGTTTCGGGGATTATTCCATGTCAGCCAGCAAGCATCTCACGAATAAACGGTGATGGGAGGCCGAAAGGGGGGTTTAAGATTCTTGTGGTAGGGATTCCTTAATATGAACCCTATTATGGGAACCCTTATCCCTACTAAACCCCCATAGGCTGAAACTCCATTTGGCCTCCTATGAAGCGAGTCCGAGCACCATGTCGTGCGACGGGCTTCACAGTTTACATTGTAATGAGCAGCGACACTATCTTATGGCGATAACAGTGACAGCGAGTAGCACCAAGGTAAGTCGTCTGCAGGAGACATGACATAGCCGCAGCCGTTGTACTAATCGTTACAAATCATCGTCATCGCACGTATTGCAGCGAGCCGCCGCAGTCGTGCAGCACGCCGGCGATGGTGGCCAGTGCATCGCGAGCCAGCTGCCGTGCGGCTTCTGCCAAACCTGAAACCATCAAAGCATCAACATGACAAAGTCGCATCCCAAAGGGCTTGGCTTTTTTTGCTAATTTTTCCGTTTGATTTCTTATGTTATTTTTTCCGTTTCCCTTGTTTGGCTAGGGGTAGGGGTAGGTAGGGTAGGGGGGAGGGGGTAGGGGTAGGGGTAGGGGTAGGGGTATAGGGGTAGGGGTTAGGGGTACTGGACTTCCTCGCCGTCGTGGCGGCACTTGCCTGTTTAAGCACTCATACCCCGCGCCTTCTCTCGACCACGCGTATTGCGAACACTTTCGAGTCTGGCTCGAGGGTTGTAAGCGGCTTCGAAACGGTGCTGCATGCATTGCACTTACACGGGCCACATGTATACTAAGATCTGGACATGGTTTTAGACATTTGGAAGGGTCGGCCGGTCACCGCGCGGGTTGCTACCACTCGCCGTCTCACCCCGTTCACTCCCATCCGCTGCGACCTGACTCCACTTTTTCCCACCATGTGACTGCAGCAACATTCTGGCGGCTCCCTGGCAACTCAATGGCCCCCAGCATGCGCGAGCCGAGCCTGCGGTTTGGGACGTGACCAGGCAGTGCTCAACAAAAAACTGTTCCTCATCCTGGCACGCAAGCCAAAGCGCCTGCTAGATACTTGCATGCAGTCTGCACCTACGTACTGTACACCCTCATGCTGCTTCTCAGGCTCTCAGTGACTGTAAGGCACGCAGAAATGCTGACATGTTTCCGGCTTCAGGATCATGTGCGAAGTTTTTTATGTCCCGCCCTCACAACTTGACTCTGCATCGCTGCTCTCCTTATTGCTCATTCTTCTCATCCTTCTTGACAAAAAAGAAAAGGCAGCTGCCGCAAGTGAAGAGCAGCAGGCGTCGATAGCGGCGTCGATAGCGGCGCTGTCGTCTCCTGGCCGGACACTCGATGCTTGTTACTTTCGTCACTGTTCGCACGCTTGCGATCAGTTCGCATTGCTACTCCTCGTGCTCATTGCCTACATCTCGAGGTCATGGGTTGAGGGGCTGTTCATGGATACTTGGCTGCTGACCTCTGGGTCTAGGGTTTCGCCCTTGGGGTGTAGAAGTGTGTAAAATACCAGCACGGAAGAAGGAGACTAGCATTGCTGCTGAACTGTCAGACATCAGCACGACCGCACAGCCAGTAGGAAGAAGCCCTTGTTTTCCGGACTATGCGAAGATGCGTGTCTGTTTTCACGACTCCGCATCCGCCTGCATTGCAAGTCAGATGGCACGCTTTGTCCTTTGGAATCCCCGGAAACCAAGGTTCAAGTTGGCGTGCTCTCGAACTTCGGAAACTCAGAAGCCTTTCGAGACATAACCCAATATAACGTAGTGATAGATAAATGATAAATGTAATGAGTTGTAATCTGCTAGGGAGACGATTTCGGAACGACTTGAAAGCGACATGCGTGGCTGTCAGGCTTTCCTGCTGCCGTGTCGCTTTCGGCTTTCGCAGCCAGGCAGATATCCGGCTATGCAGCGTCCCCGACGATGATGGTCTGATAGCGTCGGTCCCACAGGACATATGCAAGCAAAACGATGTCGCGCCGCATGCAGAAGGCACAGCACGATTCAGCACGTCTTCCGTTGTTGGCCAGGGCTTTTTCTTCAAGGCCGGGACACCGTGTGCCTGTGTCCAACGCTGTCTCGGGCTCCGGGGCGCGGACTGCGAGGAAAAAACAAACTAGGTGTGCAACCGGACTTTTAGATTTAGCAGCACCATATTGTATACTTTCAACTGTAAACAAACAGGCTCTAGCTTTGGGCGTGGAGGGCTGGGCTCAATGTTAAGACTTCCAGACTTACTTGGAGGTCCCGGACTTTTACACACACACACACACACGCGCACACACCAATGTGAACGAAAGGGAAGCACCGCTAACGCTGTGAATCTCCATAATCTTTGCTACAGCCCTAAAAAGTTGTCCATTTTCAACCTGTATCGTCCTGGCTTGCTTCGCCCTTCATCCGTAATCCTAGCTACTTGGTTCTGAAAAAGATACGTGGGGATGAACCCCTTCGAGGGGATATGGACGCTTGCCAAGCCGAATTTGTGAATGTGCAGCCTTGCAAGCCGGCCCAAGCCGGAACGTTCTTATTCACATATTCATATTCTTGGTTCGTTTACAGATCGCGCCGCATGCAGAAGGCACAACACGATTCAGCACGTCTTCCATTGTTGGCCAGGGCTTTTTTTCCTGGCCGGGACACTGTGTGCCTGTCTCCAACGCGCTCGGGCTCCGGGCCGCGGACTGCGAGGGAAAAACAAACTAGGTGTGCAACCGGACTTTCAGACTTAGCAGCGCCATATTTTCTACTTTCAACTGTAAATTTAAAAGGTTCTAGCTTTGGGCTTGGAGGGCTAGACTTACGTGGGGGTTCCGGACTTCCACACACAAACACCCACACACACACACACACACACGCACACGCACACAACTCTGCATCAATGTGAACGAAAGGGAAGCACCGCTAACACTGTGAATCTCCATAATCTTGCTACAGCCCTAAGAGGTTGTCCATTTTCAACCTGTATCGTCCTGGATTGCTTCGCCCTTCATCCGTAATCCTAGCTACTTGATGCTGAAAAAGATACGTGGGGATGAACCCCTTCGGGGGCATCCCTCTACTCCATGGACGCTTGCCAAGCCGAATTTGTGAATGGGCAGCCTTGCAAAAAAATAAGAAAAATAAAAAATAAGCAAAAAATACCGCCACCATCCCAAAGCAGCGATTAACCTGCCCGAAAATCCGAAACCCTAAAGCCCGTAAGCCCGAGACCGACGAATACCCTAAATCTCAAACCTAGAAGACAGATTACGGTTGTCCACTTACACTGGGCTACTGTACTCTGACACTAGGTGACAGTATCATGTTGTACATCGTGCCAGTAGGGTAACATGCGCAAGCTTTCGATCTGTACCCGAAACCCCAAACCCAATTGAATGCTTTGCTAGCGCCCCAGGAGCAGACCTCGGGTAAGGACAGGGAAGGGCTTCGATTTTGCAATATCGGAAACTTCCTATAGCCTCCATTGTAGTTCCTTTTGGGGTTACCAAAACAAAAACTGTTAACCCAAAAAAGAACTATACAGTGGAGACTACATGGTCAAACCCGAGGTTTGTTGTTGAAAAGCATCCTTATCTCCAGAGAGCTGATGAAAAGCAAGGGGTTCTGCATGAGTTTCCTACTGTAGTAAGAAGTTTTGAGGTTCTGATCTTCTAGGGCCGTACCGTGAGCCCACATCTCTGTGTATTTGCGCCATGTCGCGGAGGGCGTCCGCCCGCGCCGCGGGGCTGCTGCTGCCGTCCAGCTCCACCTGATACCTCACAGCAGTTCCGGCAAGCTTGAAGCCCCACAATAACCCTAAACCCTAACCAGCCCTAACTCTGTAGAGCTTGGGGTTTAGAATTCAAGGGTTCAGAAGACGCGGGGTTCCAAAACTCTATAAGCCTCGCCTAAGGACCCCAAGCCTTACACCTTTGAAGACCCCAAATTCCCACAGGGAGGGGGGCGGGGTAGTTAAAAGAATGGCTTCCTGACAGAAAACCAAAAAGAAATGAAGAAGATTATGGAAAATAGGATTCAGAAGGGGACCACTTCCAACCAATGGCAACAAGACTAAACCAATTAAGTATCGTGCCAGGCGATCCTCCTACCGAATCAAATCACACTGACAACTGTTTCGTGTTCAAAAGACTGTATAATATACTGAGTAAAGCTGATACTCTTGCCGTATGCTTCTAGCGACCTTAGGGCCCTAACTACAAGGTCCTGGGAATCATAGGGTTACTAACATCTGACCCTTAACTCTCTAAGTCGTAAACCCTACACCATAGACCATAAACGCAAAGAGCACGCCTGCACACCGCATCCTCCCTGCACGTCTGGGAGTTTCCGAAATTGGGCGTACCTTATTTTGGGGTCCTTATAATAAGGATCCTTCTATTTAAGGTACTATATTGGGGTCCCCTATAACCGGAAACCCTAAACCCTGAACTCTTATAGATCCCTTACAGGAACCCTTCTGGTAATTACCCTTTAAAGGAACCCTAAGGGTCCCCTATTTCCGGAAACCCCTACCTCATCCCTGAGTTCCTGACCGCAAGGCAGACGTTGCCGGCCACAGCCCCGCCAACTCCTTGCGTCGGTGAAGGTTTAAGGGTTTACGGGTTTAGGTTTTGGGGTTAAGGTTTAAGGGTTTAAGGGTTTAGGGTTTGGGGTTTAGGGTATGACGGTTTAGGGTTTAGGGTTCGGGGATTTAGGGTTTAGCGATTCACAGTTTTGGGGCGATGATACTCTTGACTTGCAAACCTGCTTGGTCGCACAAAGCTTTGGCTTTGTTTCCCAGACCCCCGGGAGTATGTAGAGAGTAGACCCCCTAAATTGGGGCCCTATACTACTAAGGGTACTTTATAGGAACCCCCATTAAGGGATCTACTTTTTGGATTCTGCCGGGGGTCTGGGTTACGGAATGTTTCGACCCATCAGCAGCAAGGTTCAGCTTTTCATGGCTTGGTTTCAGGCAGGCTTTCGGCCACACGAAGGTTCTCGGCTGAAGCCTCTACGTAATATATAGGTGCCTTATTAACCAGAACGGGGTTTTGGGGCGAGGTATACTCTAGTTATGATAAGAAGCCCCCAAAATAGTACCCAAAAGAGGTCATAGCACGTGTCAGCGCCCCTCATTGCAATCACAGCACTAACCATGATCTACTTCTTGAAACCTCGACAACAATGAAACAGCCCAGGCCGCCATAATGAAAGGTGCAAAGCGACAGCTGACCTAGACCCTCCATCTACCCTCTATTGGACCCTAAATGCCCCTTATTTGGGACCATATACCCCTATTTGAAGGTACAAGGAGGGTCCAATCTGCGAAACAACTCCTACACAAACACGAGCCTTAGAACCATCAGGTGAACAGACCGACCGAACAGGATGCTCGGCCCCAGACTCGAGAGTCTTGACAACCGACCGTTAGACCCTAGACCCTAAAATCCCAAACCGTCTGCCCTGAACTCTACCCGGACGCTAAGGAACCTACCTTTTTGGGGCCCCCTAATATGATTTCTTTATATGAGTCCCTGAAAAGGTAGGTTATTTGGGGCTAAGGTAAACCCTCAACCCTAAACACATCCTACGGTTGATGATACAAACCCTGCATGACCCATAATAAGGAATATACCATAATTCCCATAGTTTAGGGTCCTTAAGGTAATGCAGGATTTATATCATCAAGAGTAGTACCCTAAGCTTTTCAGTCCCATGGACTTCCGGAGGAAAGCAAAACTCGGGAACGACAGCCAAGCATACAAAGCTCGATCTTTGAAAACGGCTTGGGGCTTAGGGCTTTTAGCTTTAGGGATGACATGGCCCTTACCTTAAGCTACCAAAGCCTACATTTTTTGTGCTATAAATTCCTTATTAGGGTTTATAATAAGAACCTACGAAAAAGCAGGGTTTGGTAGTTTAATGTAGAGGCTATAAGGCTTAGGATCTGCAGTTGCAACTTAGGTTTAGGGTAGAAGCCCGATATCACCACAAGCCTATCGATCCAAATCCATACAGAATCTTGGGCTCTTGACTCTTGCAGAGCTGTAGTAAAGCCCAAAAAGCTGGAAACCGGACTAAGGACAATTAGTCCTGGGATTTCCCATACCTTATCTTAAGATTTGAGGCTATTGGGTGTCCAACTTTTGGGCTTTTACGGTAACTTGAAGATATATGGTTTCCGGAGCCTTGTACGCAAGAAGTCACAACCCAGCAACAGAAGAATTGCAAAGCGTATTTAAGAGTAGTAAAGCCACACCCTGCAGCAACGTACAAACCATCTGTCGACAACCCGACTCGTCCTGCCGCAGGAAATGGCTCCAGTTGGCGGCGAAGGCATCGCGGAAGGCGTGCTGCGTATGCCCCACGAAGAAAGCCTGCATCACCTACATTATTTTAGTACACCTTAACCCCAAATAACCTACCTTTTCAGAGACTTCTATCAAGAAATCATATTAGGGGCCCTAAAAAGGTAGGGTCCTTAAGGTCCGGGCATTGAATGTACAACAGTAAGTTGTCCTACATTTTGCGATAAACTGCGCATGGCCAGCCAGCTTCGGGCTCATGTAGTACTGTAGAGTGTGGACTTGGTTGGGCTTACAGCTTACCCCAAGGGTCCAAAGGACCCAATAACTAGGTACTCGGATGGAGGATACTAGTTATGTAGGTTCGGAGTTTGGAGAGTATATGATTATTGGGTACTTGGACCCTTGGGGTTAGAGCTCCGTCGCGCCAAATCTTTCTGAGCCAATGCCAGTAAACCTTAAGACCTAAACTCTTAAGCCCTAAACCCTGATTCATGTCAGGTGTCATTCAGCATGCAAGATGTGGTGCTTTAGGTTTCAGAGTTTGGTGCGCACTAAAGGTCTAAGGTTATAGCATCTCAATTCAGTGTATATGATAGTATACTACTACAACCCATTATAGTACCAAGCATGTTATACTACATTAAAGTATTAGGTATGTTAATTATACTATATGAAAGCATTAAGTATGTTATACTATAATAGATCTACTTGGAGGATCATGGGACTTAGTAAGTAAGGTTATAAGTTATAAGTACCCTAATTGGGGTTATAAGTATAGTTACCCTAATTATAACCCTAGTTACTAAGTCCCATGATCCTTTAAGTAGGGTGTCGGGCTTAGGGCTTTCGGCCGTATGAGTGTCTGGGCTGCACTTGGTATAGTCGAGCCTGGAAGCCTCTATCGAACGCGAAGTAGACTCAGGTTCTACCACCTTTACAAAAACGAAACCGCAACATCACACCCTAAACTCCTAAACCCTAAACCCCTCAAACCCTAAACCCTAAACCCCTAAACTCCAAACCCAACGCTCTTCAATACCACCTAAACTAAACCCTAAAACCCACAAAAGTCTGACACCCAAAACCGCAAGCCCATCCACAAATCCAAAGCATCTGGCCCGCGATCCGAAACCTTGCTTTTCTAAAATGCAAACTTCATCATCTTTATTAAGATATAGATTCTGTATATCTATTTGAATAACATGATGGTACTATCTATCGATTTGAATTAACTTGCAGAACCCAGTCCTCAGCCTGCCCGCTCCTCAACCCTGAAACCGTCTGACTCACCTCAACGCCAAGTTCCCCCCCTGTCTAAAGACTTACGAGGAAATCAGAATAGGACTATGAAAAAGGTAGGTTTTCTGCTTGCCAACTCAGCCAGGAATCCCCTAAACCCCAAGCTCCTAAACTCCAAAACCCTAAACTCTTAAACCCTACCTTAACCTACCAAAACCTACTTTTTTGTAGGGCCCCGACAAATTCCATATTGGGGTCTTGGGGTCTATATTAAGAACCTACCAAACGGTAGGGAGTTGGGTAGGCTAAGGTAAAGCATGCACAACCTCGTGCAGACCCCAGAAGCCTCATCGGGGTCGTCAAACCGCACCCCTTCCTCCAGGGCAAACTCCTGCTCGCTGCATTAAAGCGTGGGGAGCATTCTAGGGGGCAGCTTAGGGTCTAGAGTAATTTCGGGTTAGTGTATACATAAATCCATTTTTGAAAGTCTGATGAACCCGTACACTCCGCTAAGAAAGAGTTTAGGGTTGGGGTCTGTAGGGTTTACGGTTTCCAAAAGGGCGGTTTCCGCAACCATCACGCACACACACGTCGGTTGCAGGCCTGGGGTTTAGGGTTCGGCGTTTAGGTGTTTGTGACTGATTCAGGGTGCACGGTTTAGGACGTATGGTCTTGCCAAGTGCAGGATGTCGCAGTCTGCTCTCTCGCAGCATAACACGGAGAAGTCAATTTGCCCCTACAATACTGCTGTGCATTGCGAACATGTGCCGTAAGCTTTCGTATTTCGTATTTCGAACCGCCACAATAGACCTGACCAAACACCCAAACCAAGCTACACACAGCCGTATGCCGAAGGTTACTATGTGAGGTGCTGTAGTTGCTAGTATCAATATCACATATTTACACAGTCACCCATCCTTACTCCTAATGAGGAACCTCATATATACACTCACGAAAAGTCCCGAATGCAAATCGTAACCTCGGAGCTATCAAGGCTCCTGCCAGCCGTGTATCTGCTTCCTGTAGCTCGGACCGGTTCTGGTAGGGCTTGGGATGTTGGCTATAGTCTCCATTGTAGCTCTCTTTTCTGGTGTGCTTATTCACGTTTGGATTTCGGATCCTAGACTAGAGGATAGCCAAAAATGGAACTACAATGGTGGCTATAGGTAGAGTGCTTCATGGTTTAGGGTTCGCGTTTTCGCGTGTTGACCCAACAGAGTACGGCAGCACCCAATTGCCTATTACCCAGCCATGTACCAAGCAGAAGCATTCATGCCTGAACCCTACACCCTCAACCCCAAAACCCTACCTTAAGCTACCAAAACCTACAAACAAGTAGGGTCCCTATAAAATCCATATTAAGGTATATAAGAAGAACCTACAAAAAAGCAGGGCTTGGTAGGTTAAGGTATGGCCTAACTCAATGAAAAAGCGAGCCAGGCCCTGCATCCCAAATCCGCTCGAGCATGTCCCTGCAGGCTGAGACTGTGCTGAGCTTACACTAAAACCCATAAAATTGGAAACCGGATTAAGGCCAAATAATGCTGGGATTCCCTATACATTACTCTTAAAGATTGAGGCTATGGGGTTTCCAACTTCTCGGCTTCTACTGTAGTGGCGCGATGCAGGGCTCATTCCAAGATAGCGTCCTCTCTAACGAGGATGTAATCATGTAGATGTCGATGCGGTAAAATGAGGGAGTTTCTGAACATAGGGGACCCTAATATAGTGCCCTAAATAGTAGGATCCTCATTATGGAGACCCCAACATAAGGTACCCCGAATTTTCGGAAAATCCCATATCTTGCGCATCTTCCCAAACGACATCTGTGAGACTGGGGGTCTGGGTTTCGGCTAGGGTACCACTTACCTTTGGTTAGTAGGGAATGAAGGAATGGCAGTAATAGTAGTTACTGCTGCCCAAAAAAACACATAAGCAAAAACTAGTGTAGGGATGTCCCATATAAACCTCCTTATAATGAAGCCCAATAAGGTAGGCATATCCCTATAAAATGCTTATGTGCTTTTGGGGGGGTCCCTAAGTAGTTCTAACGGTACCCCATTCTTCCATTCCCTACTAACCAAAGGTAAGACTACGGTAAGACCAAAGCTCCAAGCTTCACCTTGAACGGCAAACAAGATCTCAGCCCCTCGCAGAATGTCGTCGCTCGCACGGCTGTTCCCAGGCCTTAGCGAGTTTCGCTTGCATACTGCCGTCACGAGATTTTACATACTGGCAAGCGCGGCAGTCGTTGCAATTGTTGGAACCGGTGCTTTAAGCCAGTGTGACGTGTGCCACGACTGGGTCACGGCAAAGTCCTTGCAAGTGCTCCGTGCCGAAACCAGACGCCGCCAAATATCCCGCATCCAAGAGCCCCCTTTGAGCCAAGCAAGCCCGTGAAGGGCGCAAAGCAACAAACCCGTAGAGACCCTCTGCCTCAGAGCACCCCGTAAAAACCCAATTTGGTGCACGTTGTACTAGAGTAAGGATACCCAGAGGCCCCATAGTAGTTCCTTTTTGGGATCACCTTATAGGATTCTATATATGAACCCCAAAAAGGAACTACTTTGGGGCCTGTGGGTAGAGAGCCCAAAGGGAATATCCTAAACCCCTCAACCCTGAAAGCCCCAGACTAAGCCGACGGCAACTCCCGTCCAGGCCCTTTCGTCTCGTTGTCGTCCTCTGTCTCTTTATTGTTATATTAATTCATTATTTTCGGATTATATAGAAATTCATAAGATATATTTAATACTATATTACAATAAAAGACTCATAATTATAGGACTGTTTTGGGTTTACGGCTTAGGGCTCAAGTTGTTTACTATAGCGGGCTTTGAATCATTGAAGGGCTGCCTTTAAGCGCCTGGTTTGTTTTGTGTTGCACTGCTTTGCGATTTGACGTGCAGTTCAGGGCTTAAGGAGTTTTGGGGGGGCTGTTGTTTAAGCCTCACGGTTCTTGCGAGTTGGCGGATTGTGGCTGTTGGGTTATGGTCGCTTATCAGCTCGGGTCCGGTCGAGTACTCTTGAAGAACTGGTTCGAGGGCTCAGGGTCTTCAGTTCCATGCAGCGATCAGAGAGAAAGGCCTCGGGTTTAGGGCCTCATGGGGGTTTCCGAAAATAGGGAACCCTAATATACTACCCGAAATAGCAGGATCCTTATTTATAAGGAGCCCCAAATAGGCTTCCTGTCGGATGCGCTGCCCAGAGGCCATCGCAATTAGTTCAGGGACCTGATAATACTCATGGACATGGTGAACAGGAAAGTTTACGAGCTTAAGGAATTACATGGGTAAGCATTTAGGCTTCCACTTTACTACCTCCTGTAATCCGGATGCTTTCTGACACATCCTGAGCTACAACAGCAGCTTCGGAATCGGGGTAGGGTTTTGTTTAGGGCTTGTGGGCTGTCCTCATCATCGTCGTCATCCTCGTCGCCCCAGCCTTCGCCGCCAAGGCCCTCACCTTTTACCATGGCTTCCTTGCAGGGCTTAGGAAATATTTGGAGCCTATAAATACTGTACTACTTTTGCTTCAGGCTCCCAATAAAGTTATAGCAGAAAATGAAGCAACGCCCCAGTCTAATTCTTCGGGCCCCTTTTTGACGTCACTGAGCACCTGAACCTAAACCCGACATCCAGGACTAGTGTATTAGAGCCCTATGCGCTGCAAGGCTTGCTTTTTCTTTCTGAAGGGCTAGAGTGTCTGGAGTTCAGGTATCCACTGGTTGAAGGCTCTGTTGTTGAGGCTCAGACTTCAAAAGTGCTCTGAACTTTCGATTTACGATTGATCTCGATCGTCGTCTTCATAGTAGCGGTGGCAGTAGCTCAGTTGCAGTCGCATCCGCGGTAGTAGCAGCAGCAGTAGCAGAAGCAAGAAAGAACCTTGACACAACAGTAGCAGCAACAACAGTACCGTAATGGCAACAAAGGTGCTAAAAGCAACAGTGCGGGAGACAGGCAGCACCAAGTGAAACAGAAACAGCGGAAATACTACCAAACTTTCCCCAATCTGCTGCAGAAAAACCCAGAAAACCAAAGAAACGAAACTCTGAATGAAAAACGAACTCTGAAGCCACCGAATCCTCAAACCAAACGATCCCACACAACCCTGAGGTTTCCAAAGTAGCACCGACGATCGATCCTTGGCAAGATTGAGGATGCGCATCTGAAACTCGAACTTCGCCTGCAGTCCGCAAGGCTCGGGTTCGGGGGTTTAGGGTTTAGGGCCTTTTGGGGTTTAGGGTTTAGGGCCTTTACTATACCCCCCTTAGAACCATAATACAGGCAATATTTTGAGCATTCTAGACTATAGTTTAGGGGTTTAGGGTTTAGGGCCTTTCGGGGTTTAGGGTTTAGGGGTTTAGGGGTTTGGGGTTGAACCCCACGGTTTCGAAGGATCCACGTGCTTGAACAGCGGGGGAAGAAAGATAAGCCCTAAACCACTAAACCCGACAGGAGGTCATGCGGGCCTGCAGTATGTACAACTACATGGGCCTTTAGGATGATGTACTACTCCGGGGCCCGAGAACAGTAGGTTTTATGAACTTAAGCTTTTCGAGTTTGACGATTCAATATTGAGGGTTTGTCAAGATCAGCAGTTACATATATGAAAAACATCACAAACTGAAACAAACTCAACAACGTGAAGTTGTGTGTGTATACCTACAATATGTACAAATAAGAAGGGCAAGAACAACATTGCAAAACCAGCATCGTGTGTGTGTGTGTGTCAGCCCTAAAACATTGTGTTTGAGGTTCGTGAGCGACATTGCAGGATCTTCAGGCCTACGACCTCGGAAACGGTCTGAGCAATCGAAAGGACTTCTCTTTAAGCAGGCATCAAAGCCTGGAAGAATCTCTCTATCCCTCAATCAGGGGACTTGGTAAGTAGGGTTATAAGTAAGGTAATCTCGTTTAATTTCTACTTATATCCCCAATTAAGGTACTTATCCCAGCATCCTGCGTCATTGACCCTAACACCAGGCAAAGATCACACAGGCCTGGCCTGATCTTCGAAGATGTTCTTGCGAAACCGCCTGGCAATATTGCCTGGAATTGCAAAAAAAGGAGCAAGCAATCGTGGATTTGGGATGTGGGACTCGTCGGGTTTATGGGTCTGAGGGCGTTCAGGTCTTACTTACCTCGGCTTTCAGTGTCTAACATAGGGGCCTTGATAACTAGAATAGGGCTTGAGGGCCCATTCATACTATAATCATATAAGGACCCCCCAAAAAAAATATTGCCATAGGTAACTTTTTAGGCCCCTATACTACGCCTAAGGAGCTGCATGCGATGAATGCAAGGCAGGCTCTGACCAAGTAATGAACCGATGCCGTAAACCCTCCACTTTTTAACCACTAAGCACTACATATATATATATATATATATACACCTTATAATAATACCCTAAACCCTAAACCCTACAATTTAGACCCACAAACCCCATAAGCCCAAAATTCCAATCCTTCAACCTTCGAGGCTCGCTTGCTCAGGCTTGGAAGCTCTAGGACTTGGGCCTAGGAGGGCTTAGGGTTTAGGGTTTAGATGTCTGACCTGTTTGAAGACTCCAATACCCCTTAGCTATAGCTAGAAAGGATCCCTAATGCAATAGTTCTATGAAGGCTGATGTCTGACCTGTTTGAAGACTCCAATACCTCTTAGCTATAGGAGAAAGGATCCCTAATCCCTAATACAATTTCCATCGTCCATCCCTTAGGGTCCGAGAAGCACCCCTTTATGCATGCCTTTTCCCCCCGCTCCCCCCAATAAACAAAGACCCAACGTCTTCTAGCTTAGGGTTTAGGGGTTCAGGGTTGAGGGGCCTTCATAGATAGAATCTGGTTTCGGTCTAAACTACTCATACTAAATATGATAATACTCGGACTGTTTACAGATGCAGTTCCGACCCCGATATTGTCTGTCGCCGGGGCACGATAGGCACGCCGGATAGCCTTCTCCTGAGCTTCCAGCAGGACGGGAGCGCAAAGCACGGGCAGTGCGCAGGTTCAGGGCTTCTTAGAGTAACCCATTACATGCGGGTTATGACCCTAAACATTTGGTTCGTTTATCTTTTTTGAGGTATCTTGGCTACTCAAGGTTGGGCTTGATGAGACACACTTCGTGTCAAAGAACCTGGTCGTGCAAGAAGGTCTAGAAAGCGACGGGAAGAGACAATGCACCACAAGGATCTGGTGGTAGCGGCCCATCTGCTTTCGTGCAAAGTTCTTGTGAACTTTGGACATCCCTGTGCAGCCTGTAGCCTGAGACTCGCACGTTGAGAGCTATGATTAGCCCAACAAAACCTGAAAGACCAAAACGTCCTAACACTGACTGTGACTCCGCCTGAAATGCCTCTACACCCTGAACCCTAGGCACGGAAAGCCACCTGAAAACTAACGTTGGAATCTCCGCCCTTTTGCACACCAAAGCCATGACCTCAGAACGCATACACCTCAAACCCCCCAAACCGCAAAAGCCAAAGCCCGAAACAACAGAAACCCGGATTCCAAGGCCCTGCAAACTGGAAAGCCCAACGAAGAGCACTAAAGTCCCGTCTATCTGCAGAACCCCCCAGAAGAAGATGAAGCTCAAAATCTCTCCCGTCGAGATGCCTGGGCTTGCGGCCCTGAGTCCACGTGTCCCGGATCCGTGGCCTGAGAAAAAAATCCTTGAACCCTAAACCTCTAAGCCCTGAATAACCTACCTTTTGGGGCTTCCTTATTATGATTTCCTTATATAAGTCCTTGAAAAGGTAGGTCCTTCAGGGTTAAGGTAAACGTCTAAGCCCTGAACCCTAAACTTTCTTGGTGGTGAATCAATCTGCGCCGTGATCGCTGCTTTCAGTAATTACGGCTGTTGGGCGACTCCGGGTTTCGTGTATGTGGGTTTTCGTCGGGTGGAGGTTTGGGTTTCAGGTTCAGGTTTTCGGCTGTTCAGGATTTTCGGCTTTGGATTGCTTCTTGGGTTTAGGGCTTCGGGTTCGCAGGAACAACATCTAGGATACCCCCCCAAAACCCTAAGTCCACTAAAAGATCTAGAGTCCTACTTTAGCCGCAGCCTACCAAAACCTACTTTTTTGTAGGTTCTTATTATGAACCCTAATATGGAGTTTATACGGACCCTACAAAAAAGTAGGGTTTGGGAGGTTAAGGTAGCAGGTAGCGATCCGTCAGTCAGGTCTCTCCGTCCATTTCTCGCCGCAGGGAGCCTGGGACGGCCGGACATGCGGAAATCCCGTGTTCTGCGGGCTTAGTGTCTGTTAGGGTTTAGGGTTGGTTTTAGGGGTTAGAGTTTAGGGTTTTTTCCGGTGGGGTTTAGGGTTTAGGGGTTTAGAGCTTCGTGCTGTGATTGGGGATTTACGGCTTACCCTATAGTCTCCATTGTAGTCCCCCTTTCTGGTTGAACTACAACATGGACTATAGGTCGTAGTGCATGCGATGTCGGGGGTGTTTAGGATTTCAGGGTGTAGGATTTATACGACCGATCGGGGGTCTCGTGTTTTTTTAATGCCAGTGTCTGCTTCAGGTTTCGTGCGGGGTTGAGAGACTCTCTCTCCGCACGCTGCCTGTCCGAGGCTGAGCTAGGGGGGTTGAGAGACTGCAGGTGCTAAAACCCCTGGACGCCCGCCACTGATATTCAACACAAGGTCATCTCATGCCTCCGGTTATAGATGGCCGAATGACAGAAGTTGGCGACTGGGTACGCCGTTTCTGTCGAGGCTGCGGTAAAGGTCGTGGCTGTCTGATCAAGCTTTGTTGGCAGTGTGGGGGTTGCAATTCCTAACCCCCTAAATTCAAACCCTAAACTCCCCAAAGCATAAACCCCAGACCCCTAAATTCGTAACCTAACACCCAAAGCCTAAACCCTATATCCCCCCAAAACCTAAAAGCCCCTGACCAAGCAGCTCTTCATGAAAGCCAGCTCTTCGATTTCCAGTCTTGTTAGCCCGGTGTTGGCCTCGCAGGGCGGCTGTTGCCAATACTATTTTGGGGGTTCCTTATTCTAGCTATGGTATAATGGGTCCCAAAACCCTTATTCTAATTATTAAGGCACCTATATTAGTGTAGGGATCTGTGTGAACTCTGTAACCCAGGGTTTATGGTTTTACGGGCTCTTACGGTTTGGGGGCTTCAGGGTTGTTGTTTTCTGTCTTTATTAGGCTCCAGGGTTTATAGGGTTTAGAGTGAGGCTTTAGGGCTTCTACCTGTATCATCCGGGATCCCAAGTACTAGGATGTTGATGTGGCAAAGCCAACGGAAACAAAGTTCTTGGTATGTAATCTGCAAGTCAACATTTCGGACCCATATTTCTAGACAGCCCTCGAACTTTCGGCTAAGATGGCCTTCGGAAGACATGGCGCCAGCGGCAGACAGGCCAGAAGGGGCAGCCAAAATCCAATGGCGTGCATGGCTCGAATCGAATACAGAGACCCTGTCTCGGGCCTCTTTGAACTACTTTTTAAGAGTTTAGGGCTGTAGGGCTGTAGGGCTTAGGGCTCAGAATTCAGGACGTAAGGCCGTAGGGTTTCTGGGCTTGGGGTGTAGGGTAAGGGCTTAGGGAGTTTAGAGTCAGGTTTTCAAACACCACATAGAGTCATACTTCCAGAAACACTAGCCTAGAATTACTAGTCTCCCACATGCAAGTACAGTGTGTGTGTGTGTGTGCATCTATATATATATATATATATATATATATATATACATATGCAGTGCCGCTACATTTTGCTGCAAGGAAAACGGCTAAAAGATGATGCTGCGAGCTAAGTTTAGGGTTTAGGGTGTGGGGCTAAGGTTTAGTGCTTAGGGTGTGCGGTCAAGGCTTCAAGGTCTAGGGTACAGCCTGCTTTACAGCAACTGACTCTAGAAGGATTGCCGAAGGAACGTGATGGGATGCCAAAAGGGGGTTTAAGATTCTTGGGGTGGGGATTCCCAATATGAGCCCTAATATGGGAACCCTAATCCCTACTAAACCCCCATAGGCTAAAACCCCTTTTGGCCTCCTATGTTATGTTAAGGCTGTTAAGGCATCACATGAATATGTACCTGTACGTGATCACAAGCATATAATGTTGATCTAAGTCTGGCGATACAGTAGGCCTGAGGTAAAGGCATGGCGAGTAGGGAAGTTATCTAACATTGAACTAACAGCTACCTCGGAGCACTGCTCGAGAGGGGCGTGAGAATTTGGGGATTCAGCGCAGCAAGGAACAGGGGTGCAGGATATTTATATAAGATCCCATGACTCCCAAACCCTAAACCCCGAAACCCTAAATCCATGAACCCAAACCCCAAACCCTGAACCCTAAAACCCTCAAAACCCGAAAATACGCTAAAACCCTAAACCCTTATGATTAACCCGAGTCATGTGACAACCGCAGTTTGTGAGCCTGAGGCCGATATTGGCAACCACGAAACCCTCGAGCCGGGAGTGCCCCATGCATGCAGGGGTTGCGCTTATTATAGGATCCTTAAGGGGGGGTGGTTCAAGGGGGGAGGGTACTAGGGAGCTTTGGGGAACCTTAGGGAAGCTTAGGGAGTATTGGGGAATAATGGGGATTACTAGGTTACCTACCCCCCTTGGACCACCCCCCCTTAAGGACATCCTAAGCTTAGGTTTAGGGTGTAAGGTACTGCGTCCACCCGGTAACAGTTACATAGAGTTATGATGCACTTGTATATGGGAGTTTCCGAAAATTAGGGGTACCTTATTTGGGGGTCCTTGTAATAAGGATCCTACTGTTTAGGGTACTATATTAGGGTCCCCTATTTCCGGAAACTTCTATATAGCTCTTGATCTGACCCCCAACATAGACTGCTGAAGGGTGGCGGCAGTACCCAATGTCGGCGACTTACTAAATCCACATGGTGAATTCACCTCGTTTCTACAAAGCAGAAGAGCACCTTCTCTTTGCCGTCAGCCTCGCTGGCACTAGAAGTAGACACCTGCACAGGATTTGTGGGTGCTTTCAGCTACGGGGACAAGTAAAGAGTGCTAAGGGGCTTGAATGTGATGGGCATTAAGGGTTGAAGTATTTTGTCCAATTTGGCTTGTGCAGTCAATAAGACAGCTAGGGTACACTTAGGTCCGGATATGCCACATCGTCCCAGATGCTGTAGAAGAACTCCGAGCGTGCACTCACCCAAAAACCAGATGCCCTGATCCCTAAACCCGAAAGTGAGCATGCAATAGCAGGGCCTAAGAATGAGAGTTTGGAGCAACTGGTGTATCCGAACACCTGAGCCGGGGCCTGCAATACAAACCAGGAAGCGTTCACTCCAGACCTCAAACCTCACGGTTGGGTTTAGGGTTTAGGGGTTTAGGGGATAACAATGGGTAAGGGGTGTGACAGTGACCCAGCCTGTGGGTATAGGGTCCTTGTGCTCACTCTAGGGCTAGGATCGGCCAGGAGCCTTTTGCATACGATCATAGCTTCCGGGAGCCGAAGAGGGCTTACACAGTCTATCTTAAGTAAACCCTAAACCAGAAACCCTATCCTAAAACCTGAACCCTTCTCAACGAAGGGCAAGGATCAGTCCAGGAGGCTGGTTGGAACTGTGTGGATCTGGGAGTTTCACAAATCCACCAACACCCCAAAGAGGAGGACCCTTACGAATTGGAGGGATCAGTCTTGTAAAGACCCCGACATAAGGTGCCCTGATTTTATGAAACTGCCATCTTAAACGAGGGAGCAGGAAAGCCTCTTCATGAGCGATCCTCTGCAAAGTCTCACCTGGAGGACTGGGGCTTGGCGTGCTGGGGGGCTTGGGGAAGCTTCCCCAAGGGTCCAAGGGACCCAATATTAAGTACTCGGCTTTAGGATAGTAGTTATGTGGGTTAGGATTTTGGAGAGTGTATGATTATTAGGTACTTGGACACTTGGGGTTTAGGGAAGTTTAGAATTTATAGAGTGCAAGGTTCAAGAGCCCAAATCAGGCTTCATCAAAACATGGCTTGATTACCCTGCTAGTAGGGACCCTAAAACCAGCTTTCTTGCAATATGCCGACACCTGAAACAAAGGGCCCCCCAGTTTGGCTTGGGGTTCAAGGGCTCAGGACATAGGATTCAGGCTGTAGGGGATAGAGGTGTAGGGTTTATGGAGGGCCCTAGCACGCCAGCCCAGTTGTGGTCTTTTGCGACCTTGGGTCTTAAAGATTAGAATAGGGTTCGGGGGCAGAAAAATACTATACTTACAAGAAGGAAGCCCCCCAAAATATCCCATAATAGTACAGAATCATTCCGACCCCAATGTTTCATTTGGAGTGATTCAGGATCACCGGTCCGCTTGCTCTAAATCCCAACCCGACCATGCCAACCCTAACCCCAACCAGAGCCCTTGAACCTGAACCCGAAACCTCGAAGCAAAACCAGCCATGTGTAAGCGCAGAACAAATCTGAAATGGTCAGGGTGTACACGCCAAGCTTCAGCCCTTTCGCCGCTGGACCTTCCATTAAGTGCCATCAATCAGCAAACCCCGAATTTCCAGCCCCAAGACCTTCAAAATGAGGCTGAGAAAGCAGCTCGCCTCAACACCAAGCCCTGAACCCGAAAACAGCAACTGTAACTCTGCCATGACCCTTTAAGCCCCAGCACAACCCTAACCTAAACCCCAAAGCCCCTAAACCCCTAAACCCCTAAGCCCCTAACCCCCTGAACCCTTAAACCCTAAACCCTAAACCCTCGGCTAGCCGATCCGCTGAGCCCGGGACGCAAAGCAGAGGAATGTCTGCCGGCGTCGATGGCGGATGACAGATCCGGCCTCTTTTGCTTCAATGGGGGGAGTGCAGGGTGTTTTTTTTGAACCCTCATGCCTTTTTCCCAGTGCATCTCGGCTACCATGTCTGGTTGAGGGGTGGTTTGTGTTTAGGGTTCAGGGTTTAGGGTTTAGGGATTAGGGGATGAGGAGCAGGAGGAGGAGGAGGAGGAGGAGGAGGAGGGCTTTTCCCGCCTCGGTTTAGGGCCTCCTGTGGAGAGCACTCAAAACCCTGAACCCTGTACAAACAATAATCCCGAACTCGACCTCCTTCGAACGCTTAACCGCAAATGTCTTAAACAAACCCTTCCGAAACTCCTCAATGGGCGCTACACACTTCAGCTCCTTGATCCCAACCCAGAAGGCCCGAAACACCTTTCCCTAAACTGCCCTAAACCCTATAGAGCCGAAACCCCTAAACTGAACCCTGAAGAACCCTTCCCAGTTGAGACCCCCAAAACCCCAACTCCAGTGACTCCGGCACCGAACTGTACTGTAGGGGCCGTAATAATTAGTATAGGGTTTGGGGGCCATTAAACTATATATATATGTTATTCGGAGGGCACTAGTCCGTTACGATCGGTGTGCATGCACGGGAAAAATGCAGACGGACTCCTTTTTTCGGATGGCTGAAACCGTAGCGGTCTGGATCAGTGTCGGAGCCTCGGGCCGGACACAAATCCAAAGGGTGCTGCTACGGATCGGTACGGGCACCGGTCGGGACGGGAACCGTCGGAGCCGGGTGCCAAAATGGACTTTGCTGGTTTTCTGAAGCCGGCCTACGGCGTGCAGGAAAGGGCAAAGTCCAACCCACATCGGAAATCCAGGCTGTAAGCTGCGGATTAAAGGGCCTAAATCCAAGGCGGAGAGCAAAGGGGAGGTGGCGGGAAAGAAAAGGCTAGCACACCGTCGGATTGCGGAACGGATGCGCCTAAGTCGAACGGCTGCGGTACAGTTACGACTTGCCGTTGCGAGCCCTCCGATTAACACAATACGACCCGTCGAGAAACCGTTATTCGGAGGGCACTAGTCCGTTACGATCGGTGTGCATGCACGGGAAAAATGCAGACGGACTCCTTTTTTCGGATGGCTGAAACCGTAGCGGTCTGGATCAGTGTCGGAGCCAAAGGGTGCTGCTACGGATCGGTACGGGCACCGGTCGGGACGGGAACCGTCGGAGCCGGGTGCCAAAATGGACTTTGCTGGTTTTCTGAAGCCAAGATCTAGAACGGAATCCAGGCAAAGGAGTACCCGCACCGGGGAGAAAACAGCCAAAGTCAGAAGTCCAATGCCGGGAAGAGGTCACGGTTGAAGGCGGACGCAGGGGAGTAACTCGGGCGCGGAGGACGGCTCAACAGGTGCCAAGGGACCAGGATCTCATCGGCAGGATTGAGTCCCAAGGTGCCCGGGTCGCAGGACCGGCTCAGGGCATCAGCAATTTTGTTACGGAATCCCGGAACATGGTCGATATGTGCGGAAATGCAGAAATGACGCTGCCATAACAGGTAGGAGTGCAATAGGTCACACATACCGCGGGCAGTAGAGAGGCCTTTCCAGGAGGCCGATTCGGAAGGGCTGTTGTCACAGCGGCTGACGAAATGTACAGGGTGGTGAGCGGCCGGGACAACGAGGGCAACGCACCAGAGAAGCGCGATTTGGCCAAGGAGTTCCCAGGCAGCAATGAATTTCTGAGGGGAAATGTCAGGGGAATACCAAGCACAAAGTCGAGCAAGCTCCGCAGGAGATAAGGCGGAGCGGAACCATACCGTGCGGCCGGAGGGAAAGGTCACGAAGCCGCCCAAGCCCGCGTGTTTGCTGTCGGCACAGGCGTCAGCAAACGCCTCGCAAGTTAACAGCGGCGCGAGAGACAGCGGGAAGAGCGGGATGGACTGACACAGGCAGGAGTGCCAAAGGTCCAAGACAGCTTTAGATTCCTGTGAAAGCTTCCGGTCAGAGTCAGGAGGGGAGCGGACAGAAATCCAGAGTCGTCGCTCACCGGCAAAGTGGAGAGGAACATCCTTCAGTGTATGAACAGGACGGGAGGCCACACTGACCAGGGTGCAGCCCTGGGGGCAACTAGCCAGACCAACAGATTTCGTGAGCACGAGGTCTTTGGACAGGGCTGCACGGAAGGATTCCCACTTGGAGGGGGCCACAGCAACGTGAACAAGTGGAGGTAGGCTTTGGTCCCGATAAAGCGGTGCAAGGGACGGCCGGAATGGACGAAACAGGGAACAAACCCAAAGAAGTTTGCCGGTGAGTTTGCGAAGCAGGTGTAGTGGAATCGCCTCCCCGGAACGGGCTGAAGAAATCAGAAGGCGGAGACGGGCCAGCTTCGGTGGTTCAAGCGTGGCGGTAAAGGTTTCCAAGGACATAGACCAACCAATCCAAGTCGGCCGTGCGCCCAAATAGGCTTTGTGCCAACTCATTGGGACACGAAGCACAAGAAGGAAAACACACAGCACAGCGGCCCAGACCGGCGCGGACGGGCCGGAGAGGAGGGAGATCAGGTCGTCGACATAGATAAGCAGGGCATGGCGGATGAACAGAAGCCGATGCATGCATGAGGCGTGACAGGATCCCCGCCAAACGTGCCCAGTAAAATCCGGACGCGCGTGCACCGAAATTCAATGTTAGACACTGGAACAGGCGGCCGCGATGGAAAAAGCAAAGAAGGCCTTGATCGGCGGCCCGGATCAGTATGCGCCGGTGAGCCTTGCTGACATCCAGGATAAGTGCGAAGAGCTGTTCCAGGGCCAGACGGAGGGGAAAGCACCGACGGAGGCCCGAGATGGTCGGGTTCGCAGACTTATTGGGAAGAGTGGTGTGTTCAGTAACACCGGAAACGCTGGAATCCACCACCAGGCGGGGGTCACGGTCGGGGGCCTTAACAAGTCCAAGCTTCCCCACAGCGGTGCGAGCATAGGTAGCGACGAGGCTGTCAAGACCGCCCGGAACCTCCCGCACCCATCCTTCAGAAACTTCGGTTTGAAGAAGGGAGTCAACAGTGGACAGGTCGGACAGAGCTGAACCCCAGGAGGAAGAACAATGCTGTAAGTCCATGGATGGGTCCTTGGGGGCGGACGCCGGAAACAACGTAGGGCAGGCAGGCATAGGTTCGTCAACACCCAGAGGAACTCCCTCAAGTAGCAAGTCCACAAAGGGTCGATCCGGGTCGCGCGAGAGCTGAAGCAGCGCATCCAGAAGGAATAGGCGGAACGGTTGGCCCGGAGGGACCGAAAGGAGTGTATCAAAGTCAGTAGTCGCCAAGCCCAGGAAGGAACGCAAGTCACCCAAGAAGGGTACCAGTTCGGACTCAGAAATGGGGGCATCCTTGGAGCCGGATGCCAGCCGAGCGCGAAACTTGGCAAGGAAATCCCCGGACAGGATGCGCTGAACCCAGAGTTGGGGCCGGACGGTTTGGACCAGGAAGCAGTGGAGCACGAACCTGCACCATCTTCAATCCGGGAGGAGGGGAGTGGCCAGCAGAGCGGCTCAAGGAGAGCCGTTTCCCAGGAGAGGAACGGGACTAGGCCCACAGACCGGGAGAGATATGGTGCCATCAGTGCCGCAATGCGCTCGCAGAGACCGTCCGGGTAGCAGGCAGTGGTCCGTGTAAGAAAAGCACCGGACGAGTCACGCTTGCCTGCCAAGGGCGGGTGAGTGCCCGGCGGGTGGCAACAGGTCGAGGCCAGAGAGGAAAGGTCCGCCAAGTTTGAGACAAAGGTCCAGCACTTTTTAGCATTCATGCCAAAAGTGCAAGCGGCAATTTCCACGGCGGACAGGCAGTGGTGGCGGATCCAGGCTTTGCACGGGTCGGTGAGCCACAACAAGCTGCTAGATGGGTTTTCAAGCAAAACCAGACCACCCGAGAGAAGCACGAGAGTGAGGAGCTCCCGACAGAGCTCGTGCAGCTTGTCGGAACGTTGCAGTTCAGCCTGCTGGCGCTGGGAAGGAGCAGGAATGCCGTGCGGGTGTGCTGGTGTCCGGACTGCAGGCGGGCCACCGGGTTTAAGGCGAGCACGGCTAAAGCTGGAGCAGGGTGGGGCGGCCACAGCCACACGCACGAGGCCAGACGAGCACAGTTTCCGCATGGACGACTGATGCTGGGGCAGAAGCAAGTCCACCTGTTCCCCATGAAGCACGTCTATAGGGGCAATGCGGTCGAGGCCAAGATTGGAAACTGCTTTAGAGAGCGGGGCCGAGCAACCTGAAAACAAGTCCAGAAACAGTGCCGGGCGAACAGGAGGATCGGCCGGTGAAGTGGAAGGGGGGGCCCGATCCAAGGATGGAGCTGTCTCCTTGGCAGGCCGTGCACACGGGGAGGGGGGATGCATGCCAGGGCGGGCCCCATGCACAGGTGGACGGGCAAAGGAGAAGGAATATCTGAGAAGCGGGCGGTGCGGCGAGCGACTTCTGAGTCGGTCCGACTCCGAGGCAGGGGCCGCCTGAGCCACGGACTCAGCCGGGGCGTGGTTTGAGATCTCTTCATCAGAGGAGAAAATACGCACGGCTTTAACGGCCAGGGCATCAGGGGACGAGCCTTGCAACGGAGGAGCAAAGGCCGACAGGGGTTCAGCCGCATCCGCGTTTCAGTGCGATGTGGCGCGGTGTTTGGCAGCCGTGTGCTTCTGGCCACAGGGTTTGCCGGAAGGGAGCGGAATCGGGCAGGAATGAGAAAAGCGGCAGGAATCCAACTTGCAACGGCCGAGCACAAAGCGTTTGCAAATTTCCTTGCCATTCTCGTCCACCTCATGCCACGACTCTTCCCACAGATCCTTGACGGGTTTCTTGCCGGCCGGCTTTTTGGCATCTGCTTTGGCTTTGCCGGTCGGTTTATCCGGTTTGCCATCGGTTTTGAGACGTTTCGTGGGCCGGTCGGGCTTAGCTGGCTGCGACGTGTCGGCAGTGCCCACCGTGCGGGTGGGTTCCCGGACCGGAGGAGCCGGTATGGACCGAGGCCGGGCACACAACAAAGTCGGAATCATGTGCCGGGTGACGGAAACCTCATGAATGGAATCAGACAGCGACCACTTCTCATCTCGCATCAGTGTGCCAACGGCAGCCCAAATGGACCGGTCGGCGGCAAGTACTTCTTGCAGAGATGGTGCCCGGAGGGAAGGATCCAGGGGGACAGCCGTAGCGGATGCAATGAAAGACTCAGCAAAAATCTTGCCGATACGGAGGTGCAGGTCACCAAGAAAAGCCAAGGCCGTGACCAGAATCCCAAAGTGGCGGCGAAGCAGAGGCTCAACGGGACCTGAAGTCGGCACGGACGCGTGAGCCACAACCGGGTCCGGAACATCATCCAACAAGGAGCGGAGAAGCTGGTTGTCCGACCTTGGTCGGCGATGTTCATAGAACGTCTGAACGTCATGCTCAGATGTCCTCAAGCGCCACGGAATCCACAGGGTTGTAGGCTTGTCCAGCTCAGAGCGGAGGCGGTTGAGAAATTCCAAACTGGGTGTGCTCGACGGGGAGAGGACCTCTCCCGGGTAAGCCTCAATGAATTTTTGACGCAGCACCTCCGCCGCTTCGGCCGTGATTTTTGGGCCGGGCAGGGAAGGCGGAGCACTCCCGGCGGAGGCAGGGGTCGACGGGGCAGGTGCCGGATGCACAAGGTCGCGCGCCTGCACCAGAAGGCGTCGTGCAAAGCTGGCAGATGGTGTGATCCTGGCCGAGGTGTCGTTGGGGTCTGCCGGAGGCCACAAGACGCGAATCCAGTCGTCAGGGGAGCCATCCGGAGGGATAGCATAGGCAATGGTCGCGATGGTCTTGAAACCCTTTACAGTGAGGACCTCCAGAAGCTCATCCGGGGCAGACCATTGCCGGAGCAGGGCAACCAACGCAGCAGGATCGTCAAAGGCGGGTGTGCCAGAACTTGACATGTCGGAAGAGCAAAAAGTCCAGGCTGACGACAGGAAAAGTCCAAGCTGACGGCCTACCCTGATCCTAAGAGCCTGAAAATGGCAGCGGGACGGAGGCAGTAATGAGCGGACAGAGGCAGGCAATCCCAGCAAAGACGGGAGCAGGGCCGAGTCCAGGTTTTTTGACCAACCGTCCACGCCGGTGAATAGCACCATCCAGGTGCAGAGTGATATGGGGGGCCTGGCGGCCTCCGGCCAACCCCTTGATATGCAGCCGCTGAGCTACCATCCGAAGCGGTGGCATATGCGGCACGCGTGATTCTGATGCTGGCGTCTGCGGGTCGGATCCACCTGACGGCCACACACTTGTGGACATTCCGGATTGACGCATGGCAGTTGGCAGTAGATCACGACCCGGGGCGGGCGCAAGATGCTCCCACAAAGACGGACCAGTCGGGCCAGGAAGCTGACCGAGCAACGACGCAAGAGGTCAAGGAGTTGCTGGTCGGTAAAATCTTCCAGGTCTTGCAGTTCCGGAGCAGACGGCAGAAGAACCGCGCCATCACGGTCCCAGGCCGCTCGAACCGGACGGTCCCCAGGCCCAGCCGACGGATAACCATCAGAAGCCATGGCGGAACAGGGCGGCAATAAAGGGGGGTGGGGCGGGGCTGGCTGAACTAGAAAACGGCTGCGGAAGAAAACAGTGCAAGCAAGTGTGACCGCACGCGCATGGAACTGGCACGAGCTGGCACATGCATATGCAGCATTTTTACAGCGGGGCGGGGCATCAAGTCTGGCAGGCGCGGCGGAGGCAGAGCTGGGCACCCGCAGGCGGGGCGGAACACCATGCCTCAGAGCAGAGCTGACCAACAGAGGCCCCACAGGCCGGTTTCACCCAGAACGGTTCCAGACCCAGCAGAGACACGCGTACGGACTTTGCGGTGTCGGGCGGGCACGGAACGGGACGATGCAAGACATTGCTGCGAGGGTTGTGCAGAAACCCATTCATGCTGGGCTCTCGCTGTTGGGAGCGAGGGGGCCGAGGCTTGGCAAAGTCATCGTCCGAGCCCTAAGCCCCGGATTGTTCGGAGTCGGAGCTGTCATCGGAGAGGTCAGTGCTTTCCACTTCCTCTTCAGCCGGTTCCGGACGGCGCCGGGGGGAGCGCGATCGGCCAGAGCGTTCCCGAGGCGCCATGCCACCCATGTTGCTATCAGGTGGCGGCAAGGACACCCGAAAGTCAGGCAATGGTTTGCTAGAGCCGCGGCCCACTGGCTGAAGGGGGCGGTAACCGGACCGGATTCGGTTAATGACCTCAGCCTGCAACGATAACATTGGGCCTATATCGTCTCGGCTATAGACCCGAACGGAGCCTTCCATGGAGGACGGACGGTGATGGCCTTGCAGACGGCGAAGCTCAGGGTCAAGGTTAAGCTGCCTGGCCCAGGATAGGACAGTGGCCTTGCAGCTGTGAACCCCATACATGGAGTGCTCAGGTGGGCAGGCCTCGGGGGAGTGCAGGTGCCAGTGTTCTTGCAGGAGGGCCCGGAGCCAGGGCATGGCGCGGGACCGGTGCAAAGGAGAGACAAACACCGGAGAGGCAGGGTCAGGCCCGAGGACCGGCAGCAAGAAATCCACCGTGCGGTCCGGGAAGATGCGTTTGGTGTCGGACAAGCACTGCTGAAGAGCGTTAAGCCAGGATATGCCCCAACAAGCGGACGGCGAGCCCGTCAACCCGTAGAGCTGGCAACCCCACGGCATGTTGGCCCGGCAGCTTTTAGTGCGGGTGGCGACACCGGTAAGGGCAGTGGAGCCAGATTGCAGTATCACCCGGGACGGGGGAGACCAGAGGCCGTCGTTCCAACGAAGAGACGACCAAATCAGGCACAGGACCGACCCCCGAAGCAGGACCTCGGCAAGCAGAGTCGTGGGATCCATGACGGACCGTTCGAGCCAGACGACAAAGGACACGGAAAGAGGCAATGCTTCACGTTTTTCCACCGGGCCGGTCGAGGAGAGAAACGCGGAGCAGAGCGGAGTGTGCAACTGTACCTGTATAGATGGCAAGCCCGCCACCTTGGCCATCCAACTCAAGGCCTTGAAACTGGTGGTGGAAAGGCCAGAAGGGGCGGAAGTCAACTGAAGCCAGGACGGGAGTGCACCGGGCGGCGGGTCGGCAGGATCAATCCCAGAAAGGATGCAGTGCCGGACCCAGGCAGACCAGGAACGCAAGTAAAGCTGCAAAGTGCTGGGGGCATTTTTCGCGATGGCACGTGCTTGGAGTTCCCGAGGCGCGGGTACCAGCTTGGTATGCAAAAACAGGGTGCAGCGGTCGCCAAGCTCCTGAACAAAGTCGCAAAACATGTTGCGAAAATGTGCCAAGGCGCGAGCAGTTGTGGATTCCATAGAGGAGGAATCGGAGGCGTCAGTAGCCAGTGGCAAAAAGCCAGAATGCACGAAGGGCGCCGGGGGAATCACAGAGGGCCGCGTATCCGGAGACGAGGCAGAAAGACCCCGGGGGTACGCCAATGGGTCGCGGGGCAGGCGAGGTACCCGGGGGCAGGATAGAAGTGGTGGGGATAACGGAAACGTAGGAGCCGAACGTGCAGGGCGCAGAGCCGGGCAGCGAAGAGGCCGGAACAAGGGGAAGGGGGCAGGCCGAGGCCGAGCGGGCCGGGGGCGAGCAGCCAGGTCCGACAAAGAGGCACGGGACAGGCAGGGCAAGGCCAGCCCAAGGCGAGGCACAAGCAATGATGCAAGTCCAGGTAAGGGGGGACCGACCGGGTGAGCAGTAGGGACCGGCACGACCTGAAAGGATGTAGAGGATGCCGAAGAAGGGCTGGAATGAGGCGGTGCCGAGGGCCCAGGGGCCGAGGCCGGAGAATCGCACTGACGCGGGGAGGCGTCGCCCAAAAAATCCAACCGCTGCGGGCGGGGCGGTGTGATCAGAGGAGCGGCAGCGGAGGGCTGCAAAGGAAAGCCGTGAAGCAAGGAACCAAGGTCAGATGCCAAGGCCGGGTTGCCCGCAGGGGCCACCGGCGGATGCACAGGTACCTGGCCGGGCAGGGTAAGCAACAAAAAGCGGAACAACGCGCAAGAAAGAGACCGGCGCATGCTCGATGGTCTCCAGCTCGATGTTGGCCTGGCGGCAGGAAAAAAAAACAAAAGCAACATGTCTCTGAAAGAGCCAGGCAGGTGCAGCAAGGCGGGGAACCACGACTTTTTAGGCATCGCCGCAGCGGGGCCGGATCAGGCCGGCCGCGAGAAGCAGAAAAGTGCACAGCACCGGGCCTAGCGGACCACCCCAACACGATGATCTTAGGAGACTAGTTGGAATATGGGCCATAAAAGGCACGGGGCACGCGGGGCGGTCCGGATCAGGTGCCTAGTACCCGTCCTGGATACAATAAGGGCATTTGTGCCCGGTGTGATCGGTCCGGGAATGCAACATCACGGGCCGGAGGCAAATGCGGAGACAGTGCGGGCCCCGGGCCGGACAATCATGCGAGCAGTAGCCGCGAATGTGCAGGTGAGACAAGACAGACGGAGGCTCCTGAAGCGGAGCCCAGCTTGGCAAGTCCTGCTCCTCAAAGCAAAAGAGGTCGGGCCAGGGCCAGGAGTCCGTGCGGATGAACGGGCCGGGCGTCTCAGGCAGGAAAATGCTCAGGCGCTCCCAGCCTTCACTGATGGTCCAGGGGCCGGTATTGGCCCGGCGCGGGGTGAGTTGGCCCCGATCCACAAAGACCGGAGTGCAGCCGGGGCGGTTGGGATCAGAGTGGACCAGGGGCGCGTTCGGGTCAATGGCCGACGTGTCCGTAAGGAGGGCCTGGCGGGGGCGGGCGAATCCGGGCAGGACACGGAGGCCACCGGAATCACCACCAGCACCGGGGGGGGTCGGCTGGGTCGGGTTGCCATCGGGCCTGGTGCCATCGTTCTGGTCCAGACCGGCATGGATGGCGTCGGCTGCCTGTTGGTCCGGAAAGCGCGGACCGGCCGGCAACGGTGCGAGGTCACCACGCGTAGTCTGCGGATAGCGTCCTTCGGTTCGGAGGCGGGCCGGTCTGGGACATGTGCGCGACCGGAACCTCGACGTCGAGCAGGTTGCCCATGGCATAAGTGACGTCCTGGGCGACCTCAGCGATCAAACAAAGAAGTCGAGTCACCTGGGACGGTGGCAAGTCGGCCAGGGACCGGTAAATGGCATCAGCGCATAAAACGGACAGGTCCATCTCGAGGGGCGGCGGAGCGGCCTTGGCAGCTGCCGCAGGAGCTTTGGGAGCCGCTTCGGATGGAGCCGCCGCCGGCTTGGCGGGGGGGAAAGAGGGGGTGGAAGGCCGGGCCGGAGGAAAGCTGGCTTTCTTCTTAGGGGGTCCGGCGGGAGCAGCTGGCAGGCCACCAGTCGTAGGGGGGTGGCTGGGAGGCTGCTTTTGGGGCGCGAGGAAGTCGGCACCACGTTTGGCAGGGGGCTGGGACGGGGTGGCAGGTGGAACCACGGGGGGGGCCGGGTCCGGAGCCACGGTGGTGTCCTGGGCAGGGGTCTCCGTCGGGACGGCCTGGGCGTCCGGAGCCGGATCGACATCGGCCGGAGTCGGGTCGACGTCGGACCGGGTGCCAACGGCAGCTCCCACCACACCGCGGGCCAGGTCGCGGAGAGCGTGTCCACCAAAGCGGGCCATGATCAGCAAGAGCGAAAGGCAGAGAAGGCAGAAAGCGTTAGAAGCTAAAAGCGGCTGCGGCGGGAGGCAGGGGTCGCTCGAGCAAGGCGAGTCAATCAGCCAGAGCTAAAGCATGACCGGAAACAGCTTGCAAGCCGGCCTTCGGGGGCGAGACCGGCGGACCAGAAGCCGGGTCAGGCCTGGGAAGAGCCAACGGGAAGCGGACAATTAGAGTGCATACAGCTGGGGGCATACATGATGGAACGGAGCTGGGCACCAAAGGACCTTAGCCAGATATGGGCCAAGGCGGAAAGTGTAAAAAGGCGGGGTCGGCCTCTTGGCGGAGAGGCGGGACCGGGGCCGCCTGACAGAAAGGGTCAAGAGGCAGAAATGTGAAGCGGAAAAACAGCCTCGAAGATGAGGATGATGTACTCGAGGACCGCCGGGCCCTACGCCGTCGGCGAGGACGGGAGCGGGACGAGTCTGAAGAAGAAGGCATCAAGCCGTGACAGACTAAAGAAAAGGCTAGCACACCGTCGGATTGCGGAACGGATGCGCCTAAGTCGAACGGCTGCGGTACAGTTACGACTTGCCGTTGCGAGCCCTCCGATTAACACAATACGACCCGTCGAGAAACCATATATATATATATATATATATATGTATGTGTGTATAATAAGGAGCCCGAAAAATAGTGTTGGTAGTTGTAATTATTTCGGCCCCTATATTAGGGGCGTTGGACAACTAGAATATGGGTTTGGTGTGCCTTGTGTGTAACAGTGTAGGAGTATCTAGGGGCTGTTTGGGTTCTTCTTAAGACTTCTTCCCGCCCCCATATTCAATCCTATCCACCCTCTCAAAACCTTTATCGACCTCTTATAAAGTCCTACACTTCTAACCTATAAACACAAATGCCCCAAACGTGCAGAGCCCTTATTGAACCTTGTCAAACCCCATAATTACGCCTCCCAACCAAC